AAGAAATGAAAATAAAATATATTTAAAATTTACGAAAAAAAGAAATAAAGGTGTAGACGTCAGGATGATGTTAGTGCCCGACAAACACAAATCGAGTGAAAATAGAGTTTCGCTCGATGATTCTTACATAAATGATTATAGATAATTTAATTGATCAAATTAAGATTTGTAAAAGCTAAAAGAATTATAATTGAATAAAATATATCTTAGTAAATTTAAATCACACAAATTATCACTAAATGAAGTGGAAATTAAGTTGAAAGTAGAAAAACAAAGTTCTAGCGTCGCGGCCATAATATGTCGGCAATGCACCAGAATCTTGAGCATTTGAAAGGATCGTCGTGTAGTGTCAATAGCCTCAAAGACTCTATTCGGACAAAGACGACGTGAGCAATCTCTAGATCTCCTTGTGAAGTCTAGAGATAAATGAAATGGGTCATCGAATGATCTCTGGTAGAAATAAATGACAACTTTGCAGCTCTCTGACAATTGTCACCTGACATAGAAGAACTAAATGGAGGTAAGGTGTGTGTTAGGAAGCTTCATCCTCTAATTTGCACAGCAAGAGGAAGCTCTTCATCCCATTTTGGTACACTCTCAGAAGGTGGCGACTTGTCTCTTGACAGATCGTTCTCTTCCTGACGATGGCTTATTTGTCGATCAATTAGAGATGTTTTACTCGATGGATTCGTGATCCTTTTATTGCGAATCATTTAGCAATTTTAGTAATGCTCCACGAATCGCATTGATAAGATTTTTGTCGATGATCCAACAATTCTGGTTACTTAATCCTTCACCGACAATCTACAAGAAAGTCGCGATAATCAAATAAAAAATATGAGTTGTGGCTTTGGGAGGATTCAAACCCACACCAATTGCCTGCCTTTTTTGTGGAAGGTGTGATGTGGGTTAGTCCTACATCACTTTCTCATGCGTCGAACTTTCTAACAGATATATAGTAATATTACATTTCTGATCAACTCCCTTTCTCATGCGTGTACAACTACTCCTTGCCCCACAGTCGGCTGGCCACTAGTGACGTGAAAGGGGAGTGGCACACATGTGCCCCTATCGATCCTAGCCGCTCAAGTCCCTAGTTGCAGCTACTCACTGACTGTGCTTCCAACCCGCTTGCAGGCCCGACTAGTTGATGGGTCCTCCTCATTTTGCTTTATTTTTATTTTTATTTTTATTTCTTCATTTATCTCAAAAGTAAGATTGTAAAAATCATATAAATTTGTATAAAATCACATAATTACCTAAAAATTCACATTAATCAATTGAAACCCACTTTTCACACTTTAACACAAATCTAAATCTATTTATCATGAGTTAAGGCTAAAACTATATTATTTACTATATTATGAGTATGATACTTTAGTACGTGGATGTTGTTGTGAATTTGAAGATACAAGTGATTGAAAATATGATCAAACAAGAAAGATAAATAATTTGGAGGTGAGAATAAATTTTAGTATGAAAAAATTGACTCACTAACTTCTCAAATTCAACCAATATGGCTTTCAAGATCCAACCTATCCACCTCCTTGATTTGACTCCCAAGATTCAACCAACTGTCAATTTCCCTTGCTTTTCATCAAGAATATCCAAGTTTTTATCTCTTCATTGTCCTTCTAAGCACAATCAAGCTCTTATTTTAGGTACCTATGAGAACAACATGACTCCAACATATTTTTTTCATTATCTGCAAGAGGAGACAATAAATCTTTCCTTACAAGAGAGGAGGGAGGAGATAACCACAAAAAACATTGACACAAAAGAAAGAGGGAAAATAAAAAACTATCTAATTTTTGCCTTAAATCAGGCTCCACATAATTATTTTTATATCTCTTTTCTCATAAGAGAACTATAGAAATTTACTTTTTAAACTTCTCAAAGGTATGACATGTTTGGAACCTTCTATTCCTCTCTTATTGGCCCTATGCATCAAAACAAATGACAAACCATAAGAAAACTATGTATGCATCAATCTCTCATTCTTTTTAAGTGTGTCTGCCCAATTTAATTAACAACATTTGGTAACTCAATTGTGTTGCTTCACTTGGCATTGTCCAAGGAAATTAATTAAAAGCCTAAAATATAATGAAAATTTAAATGGTATTCCTTCGTACTAACAAATTTCATGACTCATATGAAGTACATTTTAATAAATTTAATTAAAATTCTGAGTATAGATTCTTTTTTTATTATTTATATAAATTTTTTTCTCATCAAGAATATAATGAAAATAAAATCGTTGAAATTTGATAGCCTTGATTACAAAAAAGAATATTTTCCTATTTAAAAGGCTCGATACAAAAATATTGTCTTCTAGTCGTTAATATGGAAATTTGATAGACGTGGTTACAAATGCTTAATACGAAATTATTTTGTATTCTAATCATTGACATGTGAGTGGTTATTGGTAAGCTAAAGCTCTAATCATTTTTATAAACATTTATCCCTTTTCTTTTATAATAATAAAAAAGAGATAGGTTAAATGTTAAAGCTAGAATTATGTGTTTTAATTAGTTTTATTATTTGATTTTATTTTGTTAACTTTCAGAATAAATATATGATATATTCTTAATTTTAGAAGTCTGAAGTTAGAATACTTAGCACATTTTTTTATTATTAAAATAGAAATAATAAATTATAAAAAATTCTTCCACTTGCTAACAAGTTGGCACTCGACAACTGACTTGGAGGGGGGACAATGGTCGAGTAGGTAGACCTAGACTGAGGGAGCCATGAGTTGGGCTTGAGTGGCAAAGGCCTTGCTCCGCACACATGTGCGTCACTCCCCTTCCACGTCTTGGTGGCCAACTGATCATGAGGCAAGGAGCGCCCGTACACACGTGCATGTGCAAGGGCAGACCACCTTATTGCCTTCTCCCAAGATGGTTTTGAGCATTATTTTATTTCAGAAGAAGGGAACTCTACTAACAGATGTAGCTTTAGTTTATATTCGGCATATGTTCCAAAATATTTTTGATGTGGGACAATATTTTCATCTATTTCAGTGCAACCAAATGGAGCGCAATGTGACCCAACAATACACAAAGAGCCACGTCATCTGATTAACCTGATCCTATGACTAACAAATCACCATAATACTAGATGCATAAAGCAATTCATCGACGATTTGCAAATTTGATGCCGCTCAGCACACATGTGGCCTTAAATGCCGATTCGACGACTATGGAGGCACCATAGTATCAGAACTTAAGTTCATAATCTGCAGCAGTTCGCAGCAAGTTGATCCTACATTGCTCAAAGAGTCACGTGACTAAGCTCATTTGATCCAACAACTTGTAGAGCACCACGATACTATGAACTTAAGTTCTCACACATATCACCATCGGGGATATAAAGACAATCATCAATTATTGTCTGATAAAATAAATATTATTGATTATCTTTAAAATCCCGACGGTAGTTGTGAATATGGAATTCATTCTTCCCTCCTTTTGTACGATCGACATATCTAGCGATCAGCAAACTTCTTTCTTCCTCTCCTAACTACACTCAAGGCCTCTAACGAGTGGTCAGCTCTTTTCTTCTTCCCCTAAACAATGGTGATAGTGTAGTCGACCCTTCTTTTGGTGGATCTCTTCAGCAAGTGACACAGTGCTTCCGAACGATACTTCTGTGACTTTCGGTGTGGTGTGGCACAACTGGATGAAATTAAGCCACCACACCAATGTCTCCAATTACCTAAGAAGAAGACTAAACTTGGGCAATAATTTATTTCCTAATTTTAGTATTTAATTATCTATTTTTGTCATTTATTTATATTTTACAACAAGCTATTTCTATTTCATGCATATTTCAATTGAAATGAGTAGAACTAATTCAAAACTTAATGAATGATCTTCATTCTTTTTCTTAATCCTCTAAAACTCGTATGAGGTCAAGATAAAATTATTTCCAACTTATTTTCTATTAATATTCACAGTCAAATCTCAACATATGCACATTCCCGACATTCTACGAATAATAAGTATTTTTCTATTTTTGAAAGCAAAATCACCGAGATTAAAGATTAATTAATGAGCATTTAATGGTTAAAATAAGCTAGAGAAATTCACGATTGCCTAATGTCATGTGTGTGAATCCTTGAGCACACATTCATTCGAGAAAACGAATTGATCGTATTTCTCTCTTCCTTTATTTTCATCTTATTTCTCTCTCTCCCTCTCTTGTGAGATCTCTCTTCTCTCTCCATCTCAAGTGAAATCTTTCCCTTTCTCTCCCTTTCTCTTGATCAATCTCCTTCTCTTTTTTTTCTAGATTGATCTTTCTCTCTCCTTCTCTTTCTCTCACTCATGAGACTTTTCTCTCTCTCTGTCTCATGTGAGATTTCTCTCCTCTTGTCTCTTTCTCTCCCTTTCACGATAGATCTCATCTCTTCTCTCTCTCATGAGAGCTCTCTCTTCTCTCTCTTTTTTCCTCTCTTTTCTTTGCTTCACTTCTTTTATTCTTTTCACCTCACCCTTCTATTTTATTATTTCTATTACGTATTAATAAAATATTATAATCACTTTATATATAAATTAAATTAGTTTTCATAATGGATTAATCAATCTCTCTTTGACTTGAGACCTACTTTTGTACTAGTATTTTATTAAGTCTTGGTTATAATTTGTGATATCACAGAAGTCCTCTCATTGTCGGTGTATCTCATCCTCCCTCCCTTCCTCTCATTTATAGGGCAGTACAGACGCCTCTCTTCACTTGCTTGTCTCCCAGTGGGTTAAGGTATGAACTTGCAAGTGATGAGAAAGGGAGCGTGCCTTCTTTCTATCACCGAGGATATTGGGCCAATTCTTTGACGGCCCAAACCCTACTAGGATCCGCTTAGAGACGTGGCCTCTTTGATTCGTAGGCCTTCCTAGTACCCTCATAGGTAGCCACTCTTCTTCGATCAGAATAGGGTTTCTCCTCTCTCTCGCCCCGTGTGTAGGATTCTTCCCGGTTTCTGAACCGGCGATTGAGTGATGGCGTCCGACGCAGTGGAGAGGCAGGCGGTGAAGAGGGAGCTGGAAACAGCGGCGGCGAGGGATGGCGACCGCATGGTCATCACCCCGCTAGGGGCCGGCAGTGAAGTCGGGCGCTCCTGCGTCTATATGTCCTATAAAGGCAAGACCGTCATGGTAAGGGTTTTGAACCGGAGAAGAGAAGTAGAGCATGATTACCTAGAGTATTGAATTTTTTCTGCGCAATGGGTAGTGCCGCTGATGATCTATTTTTTTGGGTTTCTATTGCGGTCAGTTCGACTGCGGGATCCATCCAGCCTACTCGGGAATGTCGGCATTGCCCTACTTCGACGACATCGACCCCTCCACTATCGACGTCCTCCTGGTCACCCAGTACGCATATAAACACCTTATCTCCACGTTCTCCTCTCGTAACTCTGTGAGGATGGTTTTTCGTTGCTTTACTCATGATCCCCGAAAATTCATCGGAATCTGAAAAAAATTGGCCTAATTTATTGATTCTGGGTGTTGAAAGCCCATTGGAAGACGGAGCTTTCACCTTTAAAAATTATCCTGGGGAGCTGAATCTTTGCCATAGCTGAACTCTTACCGTTTTCATGGATCGGACAGAGAGGCTTCTTTGACTTCCCTGATTCCTCTAAGATGAGGATTTGAAATTCTTGTAGCCTGAGTGGATAGGGATGATGTCATATGAAATCCAATTGTCAATCCAGGTCACCACCCCCCACTCAGGAGGGTGGTGGGCTTCACGCTTTAGGACAAGGAACAGAAGCTGAGGGTTCGAATGAGAGTTTCGTCTAAGTCAGATTTTAGGCAAGTGACATCCTATGGAACTGGTCCTTTTTGTTTTCTTACACACCCTTTTGATTCCTGATTAAACTGCTCTTGGACGGATGGCTCTTCAGACGGTGAGAACCTGAGGGATCGATCCGATGTAGACATGGGTAGGAGAAGTCAAATCTCTCAAAGAATGGCCAGCTTCTAGCCGGTATATTAAGTGACCCCATCCTCTACAGCATTCAGAGGTGTTGACATGAGGACTTTGCTGGAAGATATGGCTGTGTCCTCACCGAACACTCATTTGATAAATTTATGCTGTCATCTTGGGATGGATATTTGGCGTACAGCACATGCCAACTATGCTCATGCTTGGCTCTTGGGATTTGATGCAGTGTCTACACGTCATGTGGTGACTAGGTGGAGGAAAGCTAGCCAACGTGTTGAGGATTTTTTGAGATTGCGGTGCTGCTATTTTCTCCATAAATCATGTGTGGCTTAAGTTGATCCGAGTCTGGCATGCATTCTTAAATGTGTCTATAGATATCTTTGTTCCTCATCTGCTCCTGCCTCTGAAAGATGACCCCCTGGAGAGTCTACCTCCATTTAAGCTAAGGAGATTCTGTCATGACTAGCTTCCATCCACCATGTGGCCGGGTTAACTGCCGGTGGGTCAAATCCAGGAGACAAGTTCTTACAAAGGTGTATGAAATTCTTTAGAAAATAACTATCTGAGTTTTTGCTCGCTGATTGGTTGCTCCCTCAACCGGACCGGAAGCTTCTCAAGCTCAAGCTTTTATTTTTCTAGTTAGAGACCAACGCCTTGGGGCTATGTGGGCTCCGCTCAAAGAACTACTGGTTTAGGTAAATATCTAATGCGTTCCCCAACTGGAGAGATCATTTTTGGAGGGGAAACCATGCGTTTTTGGGATCTCCTTACTCCTCTTGGCGTGAAAATTTTCTTCTAATCTGAAGTGGTTGGAAAGGATTCGTTTCACTGTTGACCGACGTGTTTAAGCAGGCAGAGTGTTTTTTCAACAGAAGTTAGGGAACTCATATCAAGAAGATCGCATGTTTCATTCATGCCTTCAGCCTTACTCCATCTTCATCTTCATCCATGGAGTGGCTAGAATTTCCTGCTTCATTTCGGTAGATCCTACAGGAATTGTTCCCTCATTTTCCTCCCTCGTGCTTGCACGATTCGTATGTGGCGTCACTTTTTTTCTGATCGTATATAAATAAATAAACAAATAAATATTTATTTAATTAATTAGTTAATTAATGGCGTTCTTCGTCCTGTGGTTGGTCTCCAGTTTCCACCTGGATCATGCTGCGTCTCTTCCCTACTTCCTGGAGAAGGTAGGTGTTTATTTCCGTCTGTTCTTCCCTATTTCTGCCCACCCCGGATGATTGGCGGCCGTTGATTTTCTTTGGTGTGTTGCTCGCAGACGACCTTCCGGGGGCGGGTTTTCATGACCCACGCGACCAAGGCCATCTACCGGCTCCTGCTGTCGGACTACGTCAAGGTGAGCAAGGTCTCCGTCGAGGACATGCTCTACGACGAGCAGGACATCATGCGCTCCATGGACAAGATCGAGGTACCCTCTCCTCCCTCTCCAGCTCTCAGAGAGGCCCTTCCTATATAGATAGATATATAGATAGATAGATAGATTTTTAAAGAATTCATACGATAAATATGGTGGGGGCGCAGGTGATCGACTTCCACCAGACGCTGGAGGTGAACGGGATCCGGTTCTGGTGCTACACAGCAGGGCACGTCCTGGGGGCGGCGATGTTCATGGTGGACGTGGCGGGGGTGCGGGTGCTGTACACGGGGGACTACTCGTGCGAGGAGGACCGGCACCTGCGGGCGGCGGAGACGCCGGAGTTCTCGCCGGACGTGTGCATCATCGAGTCCACGTACGGGGTGCAGCTGCACCAGCCGCGGCTGGTGCGGGAGAAGCGCTTCACGGACGTGGTGCACGGGACGGTGGCGCAGGGGGGGCGGGTGCTGATCCCGGCCTTTTCGCTGGGGCGTGCCCAGGAGCTACTGCTGATCCTGGACGAGTACTGGGCGGCGCACCCGGAGCTGCACAACATCCCCATCTATTACGCCTCCCCGCTGGCGAAGCGGTGCATGGCTGTGTACCAGACGTACATCAACGCCATGAACGAGCGCATCCGCAGCCAGTTCTCGAGCTCCAACCCCTTTGACTTCAAGCACATCTCCCCCCTGAAGAGCATCGACAACTTCGACGACGTGGGCCCGGCGGTGGTGATGGCGAGCCCCAGCGGGCTGCAGAGCGGGCTCTCCCGCCAGCTGTTCGACCGCTGGTGCGCCGACCGCCGCAACGCCTGCGTCATCCCGGGGTACGTCGTGGAGGGCACGCTGGCCAAGGCTATCATCAACGAGCCCAAAGAGGTCACCCTCATGAACGGCCTCGTCGCCCCTCTCCACATGCAGGTGCACTACATCTCCTTCTCGGCGCACGCCGACTTCGCGCAGACCAGCGCATTCCTCAAGGAGCTCATGCCCCCCACCATCATCCTCGTCCACGGGGAGGCCAACGAGATGGAGCGCCTCCGGGCCAAGCTCGCCGGTGGTCAGTTCGCCGGCGGGAGCACCAAGATCTTCACTCCCAAGAACTGCCAGTCCGTCGAGATGCAGTTCAGCTCGCAGAAGATGGCCAAGGCTATCGGCAGGCTCGCCGCGCGGACCCCGGAGCCCGAGGACCCCGTCAGTGGCCTCCTCGTCAAGAAGGGCTTCACCTACCAGATCATGGCCCCGGACGACCTCCACGTCTTCTCTCAGCTGTCCACCGCCAGCGTCGTCCAGAGGATTACCGTCCCCTACTCCGGTGCCTTCGGAGTCATAAAGCACCGCCTGCTGCAGATCTACCAGAGCGTGGTGGACGTTGTCGAGCCCTCCTCTGCCCCTGCCATCGTCGTCCACGGGCGAGTGACGGTGACGTGGGAGTCGGAGGCGCACGTCTCCATGCAGTGGGCCTCGGACCCCATCAGCGACATGGTCTCCGACTCCGTGGTGGCCGTGATCCTGAACATCAGCCGCGAGGTTCCCAAGGTGACAGCGGTGGCGGAGACGGCGGCGGAGACCGAGGAACAGACGGAGAGGATGGCGCAGAAGGTCGTCTACGCCCTCCTCGTCTCCCTCTTCGGGGACGTCAAGGTCGGAGACGCCGGGAAGCTCCTCGTCACCGTCGACGGCAGCGTGGCCCGCGTGGACCGGAGCAGCGGCGACGTCGAGTGTGACAACGAGGGCTTAAAGGAGAGGGTCAAGACTGTCTTTCGGCGGATCCAGAGCGCCGTCCGCCCCATACCCCTCTCCGCCGCCTGACTCACCGACTCACTGTGACTGAACAGACCAGCACCGACCCGACCGACCCACCAGAACGGTCAATGTCCTCGTAGGTTGTCACCAACTCCTTCCTCTCTCTTCTTGCGGATGGAGATGGATTGTTGTAGACCAGCACGTCGTTTCCTTACTGGCCAATCAACTCTTTCTTCCTACCAGCGAGCGAGCGAGCTCATCCAGTTCCCGGGAGTCTTTTTCCCGTTCCATTGCGGCGTTGTGTTTAGTATGGAAACAAAGTGACGCCGCACAGATCGCGTGTTATTAAATTGGTTGCTTGGCTGATCATCCGTACAACGCCGGTTCAAAAGTGACTTGATCGCTTGAAACTGCTGGGTTCTTAGCTGTTAAACAGATTGACAAACAGATCTGGATTTGATTTCCGGCGATGGGTTTTCTGTCGGAAGAAAACCGGATTATGTACGCCGTCGGCGCGTTAAACAAGACGATGCGCACACGTCTCAGGAGATCGAGAATGTGAGTGCTGAGAGAACGAACGGACAGGCTGATAAACAACCAGATAATGCTAGGTTTTGTTTTCTTCCAGAAGAACAGGGAAAGAAAAATTAGGGTAGACCCAGCCCAGCAGCAACAAGGCACAAGGGCCAACAAGGAAGAGAATGCAGTGGCTTCCTAGGAGAAACGGAATAGTGGGGGATAGGCACCAAGAGGAAGGGCAACAAGGGGAAGTGTCTATTTGTCTACACAGCGAGCAGCTGTTGTCGCAGGCCTCATCCGTAGCTAGGGTTTTCGATTCTCATCTTCCTCCATCGTCTTCTCTTACCACCTTAGATACGGCCCTCCCACAGACAGTCTGGCTTCACCGAGGCACCGCCTCGAAGGAGGCCCGCCAGCTCCACCGGAGGGTTGAGGCCGAGGCGAGCGGCCCTCTCCCAGCGCTCCTGGCGGGTAATCCCCAGACAGGGTCCGAACCTCATGTCCATGTCGAACTGCCGCAGCGCCTCCTCCTCCGCACTGTGTTCCAGCCATTCTGATTGCCATAAAATAAAAGGCAAGAACACCATTAACCTAAAATCACACCCGTTACCGTTTCCACCACGATCGAAAAAACGGCAGGGAAATTGGAGAAAACAAGGATGTCAGAACTCGTCCAGAGAATCAAACTTGATCCAATGATCGGGGGATACACTGATCTGTACTGAGGCCGGAAAGCCGAAACGGGTGGAGTAATTGAACGTGAGGATTGGGTCCGAAGATGAATCGCACTCTGCTGCGAGGTAGGTAAGGGCTTTACCACCAAGGTCAAAGGAATCGTGGGAGACAAGAGCAGACGGGGGGGCGATGTCCCCTTCCACAGGCGAGATGGATGAGCCCTTGAGGCTCGCACCAGTTGCTTTCTTCTTGAAGGCGCCGGCAGAGGGCTTGGCGACGCCGCCACCGACGGTGGTCTTCTTCTTCTGCCGGTAGAAACCCTTCATGCCTCCTCCGGATGCCATGTCTCTGTCTCTCTGTCTCTCTGTCTCTCTCTCTCTCATCCCAATCGAGAAGAGAGGGCAGGTTTGAATTCCTGATGGGACCAGCGGCTTTTTCTCGAGGACGACGAAAGAGAGGACGCGATGATAAGATCGGACGGATGGAATTTAATGCGATCCCCGGGAGAAAATGAGTCCACCACAAAAAGATGTTCCCTAAGGTCGAACCATAAGAATCCCACATTGTTAGGCGCCAGTTTTAAAGAGTTCGTCTTCCGCCGTCATCGACCGCGAGGAGATGAGGTCTTTCACAGAAGGCCTCAAGTAAGAGATTCTCCTATATTTTAGAAGACCACTGCAGTCATGCACATGTTCTTAGAAAAAGTTGATAATTGGCCCCTCGAAAATCAACCTTTCACTAGTGAACGCCCACATAATGTTGAAAAAAATTGAGACAATTCCAAATTGATTTGCACAGTAAGGAGCATAAAAATAGTGACAATGATTTTAAATGGATCGAATAAAATGACTAATGGATCAAGCGATCATAAAAATGGCTTCGAGGTGTTCTTATGATGCGAGTTGTAGAAATATGTTATTTATGTTAACATCTCAAAAATCAAAAAATGGAAGGTAACATCAAGTTTAACAATAAAAAAATATTCAGATTCACTTATGTCATTGCATCCAGTTTGGATTTAAAGTCGTTTGGATAAAAATGACAAAGTTTGCTGTGTATATGCGTTGTTAATTATTGGACTGACAACATAGATTAAAAATGTTATGCGACACTCTTCCATGTTCGTCAATAGATAAAAAGGATACAAATTTGCTTAATGGATCAAAATATTATACTGCTGAAAAAGATCCCTACTTGCCACCTTGTCAAATGAAAAAAAATAAAAAGAATTCATGAAAAGCAAACTATTAAAAGTCTTTACCAAAGAGGCTGATTTTTACAAATAACTTGGTGACGATGACTTATTATACTGCCAAATACCATAGTTGATGATACAAAATATAAAAAATAAAATCTAGGACACCATTGTGGTATAGATTTTGATGCTACTCATAATTTTGAAAGATTCTTTGTGTCTTTATATATGTATAATCTGGTTTTTTGAATAAAATGTTCCCCCAATGTATGGATAATATAAAATAATTCAACAAGGAAATAACAAGGTACCTTGAGATCTTTTTTCTGCACATGATGTTAATGAAAGTGGGTTTGGTTAAAGTAGTGCATAATTCTTAGGAAATCTAAATGCACCAATTGGTAATCTAAATGGCTAACACTTATATAAGGTATAAACACAGGACTTTGATTTCTTGTGCCTTCTATTTTTGCTTGTAATAAGTTAGAATAAGAAAGTTAGTCTCTTGATGTCTACTATGGAGAGATAAAAATGTTAAACCATTATAAATCCAAGCATTCACTTCTTACTTTTGTTATACTATGTCGACCTAGTGTCTAAACACAACTTATGGCAACCCATGAGTCAACTCAATATAGTGTAAAGAAAAAGGTTTTAAACCTATTGAAGACTATAAAAATATTTTAAAGAACTAAGTATCCCTCCCTTGGTATTTTAATTATCCCACTCTAAGACACGTAATGAGGCAAGATGATGTTAAAGCCAAAGTTAGTTCAACATATATTAAACATGATGTTCAATTGGATGAAATGTCTGCCTTTGTGACATTCAATTAGATGAAACATATGTAGTGAACAATAATTGGCAAGTTTTCTTTTGTGAACACATTAGAATTGATAATGTGCTTAAAGTCTTGACATCATTAATTTTATGGATTATTGTAATATTGCTACAATGGTCCACATTGATTTGAATAGGATAATATAACTAGATATCACATAGTAACATGTAGAATCCTCTCAAATGTAGTCAAACTATTCAAATTTTGAGCATACATCACAAATATCTTAATAGTATTGATAGCGCTTTGCATTATTTTTTCTCACAATTTATAAATTTCTTATAGAAATAGAGTTGATAATAGACATAATTGTTCAAGGTAATCTATAAATATCTTTTAGGAAGCCTTCGTTAATTAAAAACATGAAAATTATTTTATTTGTAGATTTATATTTTTTCTAAATCTCTTCTAATCATTTGTTAATTATAGTGTAAAAATGGTGCAACATCTTCATTGAAGACAATCAATAATGTATAGAAAGAAGTCAATAAAAAACAAAAGAGAGGCATAGAGCTCCTTAAAATTATTAAAAAATATTTTTTATATTTATACTGATTATTGCCTTTATTTAAAAATGGAGAGATCAATGAGTAATCATAGTTTATAACAAATATGTAGAAAATCTGTATCTTTAGAATTTATTTAATGGAACACATAGCTAACATAATTTGTCATTTTTTTCACCCTATTTTTAATGCATTAAAATTATGAAAAAAATTCAAATATTTATAGATTTTAGTTGGTTAATGTTCCATAATATGTGTTTTATTCTTAAATATTTACCTCTTCAAATTTATAATTGTGTAGATCTTTGACTCTCCTATTTTATGGTTGTGATTTTTTTCCGAATTCAAATATGTTTCAAGTTTACTAATTATTGAACCTCTTCATGGATGGGTTTTTTTAATTTGTGGATTAAAATTATTTTTTCATTATTTTTAGGAATTAATTGGAATATATTTGGTAGCTAAAATTTATGAATATTATGTTACAAATACCTATTTCGGTATGTTGATACTTGGTAACAATGTATTTTAGAACCTCATGTGATTGTATTACTATCTTTTAAGAAAACATGAAGGTAGGTATAATATTTAAAGGATTATTTTTCCTTAGTGAACTGGAGAAAGGATTAAAGGAACATATTCCTAATTAATTGCCACATAAAAACATGAAAATTATATCTTAATTAATCTTGATTTTTCCAACATGATTTAGACCTTTAAAATTGATTTTGTATTTAATACAATCTTGTATCATACCCCAATTATTATAAAAGTATTAATAATAATGCTCGCTCATGTCAACCTACAAATATTTTGGTTGATGATTCTATGAGGACAATAAGGCATATATTTCTCTAACATAACTATAGGACTTGCGTAATTATATGATGATACCTATGCTACATGTTTTGTAAAGATGGCATATTTATGATAATGTCGTCATGATCACAATGCTAGAGGCGAATGATGATCAAAAGGAGCCTTGATTTTGAAATAATTTATCCCATATTATTACAGCTGCCCATTTTGGTAATTAGGCGACACTGTAGGGATAAGTACGTGTAATGTGGCCCACTAGGAGCGGCCATATAGGTAACAGGGCCCGAAACCATCCTATTCCACGTGCTGGTTGCGAGAGCAGACTGGAATTAGAGCCGACTTTGCCCAGTTAGACTCTACTTAGCGCGACACGTCATGAAGGGACACGTGGTGCTGACGTGTCGCGTTTACAGGACGGGCAGCGGATTCTCCTCCCCACCCGTCTACGGAGATGTGGTGTGTACTGGCAACAGAGCAACCCATGGCTTTGTCTTGGGACAGGCAAGGAAAAACAAATTTGTGGGCCCCACACACAATCTCTCTCTCTCTAACCCATCGACAAGCAGCGAGAGCTTTAGAGAGAGAGAGAGGGGCTATTGCCGTCATATCTTCTTTGCTTGGGCATTGGTCAGTTACTGTGTGTGTGTGAGAGAGAGAGAGAGAGAGAGAATGGGGAAGGGGAGAGAGAGTGAGAGAGGGAGAGAGGAGCTAACGGCGTCGTGTGGAGATGGTGTGAGAGCCACAAGAGGGACTGGCAAATATCGGGGACAGCCAATGAGCGGGCGCCTCACATATCTTTTATCACCGCGCGCCACGTCGCCACCACGCCCCCCGGTTGCCAGGCGACCTCAAAATTTCCCTCATTTTCGGTTGGAGTCAGAAAATCGTCGCGGGGGAAGAAGAATCCGGAGAGGGTCAGACGCAGGCAGGCAGGCAGAGAGGGTCGATCCTCCCTTCCTCCCCTCCGCACCCTCCCCCGCAGCGGCAGACAAGAACACATCCACTCCCGGTGATCCTGTACAGAAGAAGGGGACAATCCTAGTCCCCGTCTCTCTCTCCGCCTCCCCCACTCTCTCTCTCTCTCCCGGAGCTCTTGCTGTCCTAAACCGTCGGAATCTCTCTCTCTCTCGCTCTACATCAGCCAGAGCAGTGCGGCGGCGGGCGACTACAGGTTGGCCATCTGGATTCCTCTCTCTCTCTCTCTCTCTCTTCGCGTGGGTGTTTCCTAGTGTCACTGTTCTCGGCAGGGAGTAGAACCACGTTTCTTCCACATTTTTTGTGTTCCGCTTCACCATGGCGCTCGAGATCTGAAGGACAACCTGTCGATGAATCGGTTCTTGGACGCCACTAAGGTCTTTCGTTTCTATAAATATACAGATGACTTCCTCTCTCACCAGAATCCCCTCTTGACTGTCGTTCCCTGGATTCACGGAAACACCTCGATCCTTTGGGATTCAAAACTTCGTCTTCGTGGTAACTCCTGAATTAATTTTTCTTTTCTCTTGCCGCTCCGGCATTGCTGAATCAGGCTTAGGCAAGAGCAGAAGCCGAGAGAAGTCATTCGACGATCTACAGATGACGTAGCTGCAAAGAAGTACTATGATGGCCACAGCGGGAGTGATTGGATTAGCCATTGGGAAGAGCCTCCTGGGTACTTCCTTCTACCCCTCCGACCTGACCGAGAGGCTGTCCTATTCTTCGGACCACTGCTCCGGGCCAATCTCATCTGCTTCTACGAGGACTGCCATAGTCGCGAAGAAGGAACCCAACTTCAGCCAGAACGCCGCTTCTAATCGGCACACGCCGCCTGCGAAGGCGCTCAAGGAGTACGTCGACGCCCCCCCCTCAACGACCGACTCATGGTTCCAGAGGCCCGGCTCCTCCGACGAGGATGGGGACATCCATGTGGAGTCGTCAATGGAGCTCCTGCTGCTGCTGCAGAAGTCCATGCTGGAGAAGCAGTGGGATCTCTCCGTGGAAAAGACTGGAAAGAATTTCGAGCCGCCAAGTGTTACCCGCTCTGGCCAATCAGCCCGGCAGAGGAGGGCAAGATCAAGGAGAAGGCACATGAATCTGGGCGTTGGGTCTTCGAGCAGATGGACAGAGCCTGTCCCACCCAGTGTGAGCCCCGAGCTGTTGCAGAGCCGAATCAGAGGGTACGTCAGGGGTAGAGCGAGTGAGGACTTGCTCAGCCATGCCGAAGTGGTGAACCTCTCGCGGAAGATCAAAGCGGGCCTATCTTTAGAGGAGCATAAATCGAAGTGAGTACCTTGGCTAGTCGAATTTCTCTTCCTAGTTAACCTCCTTAGCATGCCCCCAACCGATCGCTGCTGCTGATTGGCCGCTTCTCTGCCCTTTTATAGATTGAAAAACGTTGGTAAATTAAGGCAGGGCAAGCTCCACCAGATGGGGAGAAAATAAAGTTCATGACGGCAACCTTATTATATCTCCGGTCATATTAGCTGATTGGCTTGTGAGCAACTATCCAAAGCCTATTCTGGGTCTGTGGTTCTGATAGTGAAAAACAGCTCTATGTTATGGTAGATTAATATGGTGTCGTCTTTTAAGGCCTAGAATGTGACCTCATCTGATCCATCTTACCTTGTTTGATTGAGGATTACCTCTTATGGATCACCTTAAGCTACGAACAATGTAACAATTCACAATGCATCCAGACTTTTGCAATTTTTAACTGCTACCCATTAACAGGTTCTGCTGTTTCTGTCACGGTTTGTTCCAGAGGCCTCTCGTCAAAGCTTCCATTTAGATCCTCATCCTTTGAATCCTCGACATGTAGAATATTTACATGCTTTCCCTTTCCTTCAGGATTTGACTGTGTTAGTTGGTGAAACAGGCTAAAGGAAAAGCTGGGCCACGAGCCATCAGACAAGCAGCTCGCAATGTCACTGAAGATTCCTCACGTGGAGTTACACTCTAAGATGATTGAGTACTCTCTGGCAAGAGAGAAGCTTGCGATGAGCAATGTTCGCCTTGTCATGTCGATCGCCCAAAAGTATGACAACATGGGTGCTGAGATGCCCGACCTCATCCAGGTAGCCCTTCCCTTTTCCTTTTTCCCCCCTGGACCTATCAAAGGCCTTGTGCTTGTTGTGCTTCAGGGCATTAACCACTGACTCCTTTTTCTTCATCAATGCAGGGAGGCTTGATTGGACTGCTCCGTGGGATAGAGAAATTTGATTCTTCCAAGGGCTTCAGAATCTCAACATATGTGTATTGGTGGATTCGTCAGGTAGATCATCAGTTTCTGGATTTCAGTCTCTTGGGTTGTAGATTCTCTGTCCATTTTTCTAGTTTGTTCATCGAGCTCATTGCCTCCTCTGATTCCCTTCTGCTATGATGAGTCGGTAGAAGTATTCTTGCTTGAGATGGCATATACAATTTTATACCCATTCTGCTCTGTTTTCTTGTTTGAATGCGTTGAGTTTGGATGATGAGGATAAAATTTTCTGTGCCGACCGCTGTTCTCTCAGGGAGTTTCTAGGGCACTGGTCGAGAACTCCAAAATCCTGAGGCTGCCCTCACACTTGCACGAGAGGCTTAGCTCCATTCGGAGTGCGAGGATCTTATTAGAAGAGAGAGGGATCTCGCCAACAATCGATGTAAGTCGGCTACTGTGATCCGACCATGTCATGCTCCCATATATTTCCTCAATGTGGGATTTTTGTCCAACCTTCCAACAATCAAGTTAACGCATTCACTCTGAAGCCCGAAAAACTGTATCCCTACTCGTCTTGTATTTTCTATCAGTTCATGATAGCAAATTGATAATTGTCGCACCCCTTCATGATCGAGCCTCTGTTCTTGAAATTGTGCAGAAGATTGCAGAGTGTTTGAACATGTCAACAAAGAAAGTGAGGAATGCCACTGAGGTAAACATTTTCTCCTTTGCTAAATTTGCGACTGAAAATAAATAAATAAGTAAATATTCATCTCTTCTTTTTTTTTTTAACATCACGCCGTATCTCCTGTGACTAATCCTTCACCAATGTTGACACAGGCTGTCAGCAAGGTCTTCTCCCTGGATAGGGAAGCATTCCCCTCTCTGAACGGCCTTCCAAATGAAACTCTTCACAGCGTATGTATATCCAGAAATAGAAGATATCAGGCTGGAAACTTGTTACATGATAATTAGGGAGATCTGATCTCTACGTTCATTTTCAGTATATTGCAGATAACTGCCTGGAGAACATCCCATGGCATGGAGTTGACGAAAGGTCCCTCAAGGTAACAGGCTACAATGCCGCATTTAGTCTGGTACAACAATAAAGTATTGTGTAGAAAATAACCCAAGTCAAATCTCAACGGTTCACAGGAAGAAGTCAAGGACCTTCTTTTCACAACACTGAATGAACGGGAGAGGGACATCATCAGCCTCTACTACGGCCTGGAGAGAGAGTCCTGCTCGTGGGAGGACATTAGCCGGCAGTATGTTGTACAGGCAGCTTTGTAATTGATAGCGTCCCTCTGAGAACTCACCTAATGCCAGTCGCTCCGTGATCTCTGCAGGATCGGGTTGTCGAGGGAGCGGGTCAGGCAGGTTGGGCTTGTGGCCATGGAGAAGCTAAAGCGTGCAGCAAGGAGGAGAGAGCTGGACGCTATGCTGGTGAAGCACTGAGTGGCGGCCAGATTCACGGGGCATTGAGATTGTACATAGAATGACTCGAACAGAAGAAAAAGGTGTATACATGTGATTTCTTTTGAACTGGGGAAAATAAAGAAGAAAGGGGAATTGTGTTGGCAGAGTGGCAGACTGCGCCCACTTTAGTCTGTAATTGATTAGAGACTTATACTCTCAGGTGCCCGAAGAAAGGCTTTGTATATGATATTGACGAGCACGGGCTCTCTCTCTTTCTCTCCCCCTCTGCAGCCTGTGTTTTAATGTCACAACAATTTTGTGCATTGTGCATGCTCTTGGATACTGATTTCCTCGTGAAAGAAGGTACTCTCTCTCTCTCTCTCTCTCTCTCTCTCTCTCTCTCTCTCTCTCTCTCTCTCTCGCTATCTGTCTATCTTGTGCATTGTCGTCGGGGTGCCCTATGTAGAATCAGATTGGTGCAGAGAGAGGTGAGCTCATGCTAGTTGAATGCTAGTCCTGTGCACCATGAAGTGATCTTGCACATGTTGGGATGATCTCTATCCTCTATGTGATGTTCATCTTCAATCATCTTCTTAACAGGTGGTCCATGAATCCCCACAGTTTATGTTGCTTTCTTACTCTCTCTCTCTCTCTCTCTCTCTCTCTCCCGATATATATAGATATATATAAACCCTTTTTAGGAAACACCCTCCCTAGGTAGCCAGGGCCCTCCACGGAAGGCATCCTATCAGTGGACTGGAACTGATTACCTAAGGACCTCCGTCAGTCTCTGCTGGTCCCCGGACCGCCGAGCAGGTTGTACCATTGAAGTCCCCTTAGTTGCCTTGAGCGAACCCTAAAATACCCGGTTTCTTCCACCCTAGGTTCATAACCCTTTGTGAGTGTGTCATTTAGCTTTAGTTTCAAACAAAAATAAAACAAAAAACATATATATATATATATTATTGTTAATAGATGAGACAGCCGACTTATCTTTGCCTCCCACGCCCCAGTTTTTTGGCATCCCTTGCGGTGACCAAGAAACTAAAAACTTATTGCAATCCAAGGTATTTTCAGTGGGTCGAATTGCTTGAAATTTGTGATTTGTTCCACGTTTGATGAGATCACTGTTAAGAGTAAAATCCTTTTATGGCGGCTTTAAGCGTCACCTTGATGAACTCCTCTCTTAATAAACAAAGACTTGACTCTTGATATATTTCAAGGTGGAGACCACATTGAAGGAGATTTCATGACCACATGAGAGCCGTAATGATCAGCCATAGACTATCTAGTGCAATTTTTTTTCAATCATTCCATAATTTATCATTGTTTTCATCACATAAGTATGCATTTAACATGACATCATATAATAAGTGTGCATTCATTTATAATAAGCATAATAAACATGGCAGCATATTATAAGTTGTTATAGTGCTCAAAAAGTTTGCAACTAGATTACTTATAGAGCAATCATTTTATATCTAAATATGTTTTCATAATGACAAACTCACACAAGACCAGTTCGTAAATGAACTTTTTTAAATTCTTCATTATTCATGATATATGATTAAATATCATTTTTCTACCAGAATGTATTTAATTAAATATAAATCAAAGGAAAATATAATTTAGTAATCATAATTATAAAATAATTTAAGGAATGTATTTGAATCTCAAAATGTTAAATTTCAGAATTGAAATATTTTACTACTTGAAATTATTAATTTGTGTATTTTTGTGGGATTTATTGATATTCAAAGAAGTTAGAATTGATGGAAAATAATGATTTGCATAACAAAAAGCATAAAAAATTATTGAATTAAAATATGGATGTAAAAGCATACTCAATCTACTACATGTCAATTATGTGAAATCATTACTTCAAACTAGTTTTGATATTGAACAAAATGATTAAATTTAAACTGTTTATTCAACAACTTAAATTTTTAGAATACTAACAAATATTAGCTAGAGAATGATTTTGAAGTATCAAATATTTCTGAATTTACGATTATGTATATTGAGATTATGATTCAGTGTGTCTATTTTATAGTCATTATTTATTTAAGGTTATTTAAATAAATTTATCATAAGAAGTTATTATTTGATTTTAATATGTTCTTTCAAAATGTTTGAACTAATAAGTTTCAGATCTAGACAACAATGCTTAATGCCTAAAATATTGACATATCTAACTGGATATCTATATCTTATAGGATATATCATATTTATTTACGAAAATTTGAATTTATTACTAATTTAAAATTTTAACATTAAGAGATGACAAAAAACAGAAGACATTTTTGAATCAAAAATCTCTATCAATTCAATACCTCTCTAAAAATTAGTGAGTTCTGAATAATTATATTTGACCCCTCTACTATCTTGAGATTCTTGATAATATTTTTTGCAGAGAAAAATATGTGATTTTGAGCATTCTTCAAAGCTTGGTAAAATGTTGAGAAGGCAATGAGTCAAGGATAGGGAATTAATGAAATTAAGATATTGTTGATCTAATTGACATGCCAATGTTTTCTACCTAGCTAGCCTCCTTGAGTGAAGAGGAATACGAAAATTAAGCACTATTTAATATTCTCTTCATCACATTTTTCAAAAGCACTTTAAGGCAATGTCTACATCTAAAATAACTCATGATTAAATTCTTACCTATTTGTTTGGAGAAAAAATTGAGATTAAATGTTGAATTAATTACAAAATGGAAATGATCCCTGTAATTAGTGGTAGAATTCCTAAAATTATGAATGTAGAAGAGAATTTTGGGGTTAAATTCTCATTTGAGCTGAGTGCAGTAATTATTGATTTTGAATGTTAAATAATTGGTTTAATGAAAACTTAGAATGAAAGATTATTAGAAAGTGAACATATATTGGGGTTCAAACCATAATAAAAGTCCATATATTTTATAAATTTACATCTAGAATAATAATAAGAATTAGAATCATACAAAGGAGATTGGAGATCATAGAAATAGTTGACCAAAGTTAAAATAAGATCTAATCAATTCAACCTCCCCCCTTTCTAGATCTGAGTGCAGTCTAAAGTTCAACATAAAACACAAGAAACAAAGAAAAATGATCATCAATGTTATTTTTGAAATTTGATGATTATTTGAATCTCATCTAGAATTTGATCAATTTCATTTGTCACTCTTCTCTATTTTCATATTTGGAAGTTATTTGAATAGAGAAAATGATGTTAGTGAAATTAGGCTGAGGACACTGACTTTGAATTAAGAAATACTTCCCAACAAATATTCTCATCATTGAAGAAACCTCAAAATTCACTCAAATTTGAATGACAAACTCTTCAAAAACTGGTAGAACAAAATTCAAGATGCACAACAATTAAGGACGATCATTTATGGACTAATTAGTTAGTAGAGAAAGGCTAATTTATAGATAAACTCAATGTTATATCCTTCCCATATTTTTTTGCTTATTCAATATAAAATCCTAAAAATACTTAAAATTTTGAATGGTTGAAGTTAATATAACGCATCCTTTAAAAATTTGGCTATTTTGCATGTTTAAACCAACAAAAAAACAATTAAGCATTAACATATATATCCAAAGCTATTAGTTGTGGCATATCCAATAAGAATCTACCATAACTAAAATACATCCATAAATGTATTTCAAAATAAATTAATGACATCAATATCAAATTAAAATAAAATCACCTCAAAAAAATAATATATATATATATAATATCATCAAAAAAATTCAAGATAAATAAATATCCTGAAGCCAACATAATTTTTACTTTTTTTTCATGATAAGCTCATTAGTTGATCAAGAACTAACCAAGCACATAAGGGCATCAAACATTCTACTCTTTTTGGGCATTTGTAATATTTTAGACATACAATTCATTTCAACACCATGTCAATGAATGATGTTGAACTAATTAACATTGGCCATGTATTTGAACCTACATATCTTATTCAATACTTGAATATGTCAAGTAGTATAATTATCAATCATATTCAAAAGAAAAGAGGGAAAGATTATTGGTCCCAAATGGGTAATGATAAGAATCAAGAGAGGGTGAGTTTGTGATTTTCACAAGGGTCTATATAGCTATCTTTAATTATATTAATTTTTACTTAATTAAGTATAATAAATATACTTATTCTAGATTATTATAGACATGGTCGATGAGAAAAAGAAAGTACAAATATTAGAGTTTATTATAGTTAGACTACTATCCTACTAATAGTTTTTATGAAGATACCTTGCCACAAAAATTCTACAGTCATACAAAAAAAATTAGCTTTAACTTCTTATTTTCAATTCATAGCTTCGAATGTATTGGAAATGCCAACAATATGCATCCAATCATAAACTTCTATCACTATGAACAAATAAAATAGTATTAAAATAAATATGATAGCTTTATTTGCAGGATACTTTGACATTGATTCATGGGCCTCCAATGTTAGAATTTTAGAACCTTAGAAGACAACTTTTCTCAATATTTTTTTCAAAAAGGTGATATTTTTTAAGAGCATTTTTTTTCTTTTTAATAGCACAATTTAGGTCTTTCTGTGAGCATGATATAATATTCTTTTGGGGCTTAGATTGATTACCTACAATTACCCAACTAAAAAATTCAACTATAGTAATCTATTGTATACTACGATGTCTTATAATAATTGTTTCATCTAATGAATCAACATCATAGGTTCTCTTTCATTTTTCAAATTCATGAAAAAAAGGAAACTAGGAAATTACCATTGAATCTAATATTTGATAAGGTACTTCTAAACTAGATAGAAAATTCTGAGTTTTCAAATATTAGATTTGTACACCTAAAGGCTATTATGTGTCATTTGGATGCACTATGACATTTCCATCCAAAGGGTTAAGTTCCTTGGTACAAAGAAACTTGGGAGGTGGATGATTTGGGTGAGCTATGAACAATTCAAGCATTATGGAGATTAAAATCACATCTTTAATCCTTGAAAGTCATGCTTGTGTCATTGTTCCCTCAATCTAAATCTAAAGGTTGGAGATGACATGTCACTTGAATCCACAAAAGTTTAATTATAAGTCCACAAAATTAAGAGCTAGGTTCCTTGAGTTCACAAAGGCATTAGAGTTCACTAGTATATGTAAGTACCTTAGAGAGGAAAAAACTCACAAAATTTATTGATTAAAGTTTTGGTTATATGGGGTGCCTTTAAATGGGTTGAAGTTTGTTAATTGGGCACCAAAATTTGAAAATAGAATGAGAAGGGGAATGGAAAAGAGAATATGAATATGAAGAGAATAAGAATAGAAGGGGGAAGGAAAATAATAAAAATATAAAGATATAAATGAACTAGAAATAGAAGGGGGATTAAAAATAAAAGAACTGAAAGTAGGAGGGGTAAAAATAAAAAGAGTTAAAATATAAACTTGAAAGGAAAAACCTAAATATGGATATGTCCTAAAACATGTCTTGTTATGGGCTCAATTTTATAATTATACAAACTCCAACTTAAATGGACCGTCATGCTATATACGCTTGTTAACCAAAAGAAATATGAGCATCCCTACTATAAGTATTAAACAATAATTTTTCATATATGTCATCATTATGATTCAAAAAATTGAAAATTTACAGAAATTTTAATAACTCTTATTTTTTTGTGAATATTTTTTTTTATTGAACATATGCTAATGAAGAAAACTTAGAAAAAATTACTAATATAAGTTTACTAATATTTGTTAATACAAAAATTGGATTAACTCGGATTTTTTGTCTATAGGGACAAAAGAGTATTACTTTTCATCAGTCAAAATTTTCAATGGAGAAAAAAATTAGAATAGTTGTCTATCTATATTTGAATAAAATCAACTAGAGGACTAGATCCTCACCAACGTAAAAGAAAACTGAAGAATAGTGATTAATGTTATTAAATCTAATTTTTTGGGGACTAAAACAAATAAATATTCAACGTTGAATGACCACTTTAACGAATTATAAATTTCCTTTTTCATCTAAAAATGTCTCGGAATCAGGGCTATCCGGCCCAAATCAAGGAGCATTCTCTATTCACCTGCCTGTTTATTTTATTTATGAAGTAGAACTAGAAATATCCAAGATATCTCACTCTTCCAAAGGTCCTAGTCTTGTCCATTCTCCGCTGTGTACAGGGAGATAAACTCCACGGATTCGATCCTCCTCTGGCGCTGGAAGTATCTTCTCACCGTGTGCTCGTCGCTCTCCTCTGCCCATGTTGGTAGCCGGGGCTCCAGTGGCACTTCCCGTCCCTTCCGGGCTCCTCTCCATCCCTAGCCGCTATCCCCACCAGAATACTCATGCTCACGCCGTCGTCTCAGCTTCTTCCTCCTCCCCCGCCATGCCATCTTCTTCCTCTTCCTCTTCTTCGCATTATCCCTCTGCAGCCTCCGCGGAAATCCCGGCACCGAAACCCTTCGTCTACAACCGCGCCTCGCCCTCTGTCCGGTGGCCGGACCTCGACATGTCCGAATACTACTCGGAGCCTCCTCCGCCGCCGAAATTCCCTTCACCCCTGCCCCCGGAGCCCGAGCTAGGCTTGGGATTTCCAGATGATGAACCGTCATGGGAAGGTACTGAGGCTGCCTCGGGAATCGGGGAAGGAAAAGAGGGGGAAAGCGGGCCGCTGGAGTTATCGGAGGAGAAGCAGAGCCGGACGCGGGCAAAGAAGATGACGAAGCTAGCGCTGAAACGGGCCAAGGACTGGAGGCAGCGTGTGCAGTTCCTGGTCGACCGGATTCTCACCCTCGGATCCGGCGAGTTCGTTGCAGATGTGCTCGATTCGAACTTCGTCCAGATGACACCCACGGACCTCTGCTTCGTCGTCAAATCGGTTGGCCGCGCCAGCTGGCGACGCGCACTCGAGGTGTTCGAGTATTTGTCCCTGAGACAATGGCACTCCGCCCCCGCACACAACCCCAGAATGCTTGCGACGATCGTCTCCGTCCTCGGCAGACACAACCAGGATGCACTTGCTGAGGAGATCTTCTCCCGAGCGACCATCCCGCCGGAGACCTCCACCTCGTCCGCTGGAGCGGCGACTGTGACTGCCGTACAGGTGTATAACGCGATGATGGGTGTGCACGCCAGAGCAGGGCGCTTCGACAAGGTGAAAGAGCTGCTGGAGGTGATGCGGGAGCGGGAGTGTGAACCCGATCTCGTCAGCTTCAACACTCTGATCAATGCAAGGGTCAAATCGGGGCGGGTTCCGCCAGGTTCGGCCCTCGATCTGCTCCATGATATCCGTCGGGCGGGGCTCCAACCAGACACCGTCACCTACAACACGCTGCTCACTGCATGCTCCAACAGTGGGACTTCCTGCTTGGAGGATGCTGTAAAGGTTTACTCCGACATGAAGGCGTCGGGTTGCCAACCGGACCTCTGGACGTGCAACGTTATGGTGTCCATCTACGGTCGGTGCGGGATGCCACGGGAGGCCTCACGACTTGTTCAGGAGTTGGAAGATAAGGGCTTTGCCCCAGATGCGGTTACATACAATTCTCTGCTCCATGCTTATGCGAGGGAGGGAGATGCTGAAAAGGTTGAGAAGGTCTGCGAGGACATGGTCAAGGCGGGATTCAGGAAGGACGAGATCACCTATAACACCGTAATTCACATGTACGGAAAGCGGGGAAACCCAGATTTGGCATTCCAGTTCTACAGGGACATGCAGCTCGCTGGCTGCAGACCCGATGCCATCACTCTTACGGTGCTGATTGATTCATTGGGCAAGTCTGGTCGGATAACTGAGGCAGGTGATGTGATGTCAGAGATGTTGGACGGTGGGGTGAGGCCTTCCTTGAGGACATTCAGTGCCTTGATCAATGGGTACGCCAAGGCAGGGATGTATGTTGAAGCAGAGCAGATGTTTGACCACATGTTGAGATCAGGGATCAGACCTGACAATCTAGCTTATTCGGTTATGCTAGATACATTGCTGAAAGCGGGTGATTTGAGGAAAACGATGACCCTCTATCAGGATATGATAGACAATGGATTCAACCCTGACAGGAACCTCTATCGTGACTTGATTTTGGCCCTTAAGAAGGAAGGCAAAGATGACAAGGTTGAAGGGCTTGTAAGTGACATGGAACAGGTTATGAATCCAGGGCTAATTTCATTGACTCTTATCAAGACAGAATACTTTGACCTTGGTTCTGAGATGCTGAAACGGGCGATCACCCAAGGATATCAGATTGATGAGGACGACTTGGCATCCATTTTAAATGCATACAGCTCAACCGGAATGGACGAGAAAGTCAGCACTCTTCTTCATTGTTTAAAGGAACATGGTTCCAACTCCCAAAGATTGCTGAGTGAATTTTCAATTATCATGCTGTGCAAAAAGCAGCAATTGGAAAATGCTCTGGAGGAGTATAATAAATTGAAATCCGTCGGTTTTCTGTATGTCAATGTTAAATCTCAAGTGTATGAGTCCCTGATTGTGTGCTGTGAAAAGAAAGGAGCCCTTTCTGAATCGTGTCAGTTGTTTTCGGATATGACCTTTTCTGGCATTGAGCCTTCACAGAGCGTCTATCAAAGCATGATCTCAACATACTGTAAGATGGGCTTTCCTGAGACAGCTCAGCATTTGTTACATCGGGCTGAAAGTGCCGGTCTACTATTTGGTAATCTTTCACCCTACCTTACGCTGATTGAAGCATACGGGAAATTGAAGCTATGTGAGAGAGCAGAAAGCTTGGTTGGGAACCTTAGAAATAAATTCCAGTCCAAGGTTGATAGGAAAGTTTGGAATGCACTAATTTATGCTTATGCTGAGAGTGGCTATTATGAGAAAGCCAGAGCTATTTTCAACATCATGATCAGAGATGGTCCTTCGCCATCAGTGGATTCTGTTAATGGTCTCTTGCAAGCATTGATTGTTGATGGGAGGCTGGAGGAGCTATACGTTGTCATCCAAGAGCTCCAAGATATGGACTTCAAGATAAGTAAAAGCACCATTCTTTTAATGCTTGACGCATTTGCAAGAGGAGGAAATATATTTGAGGTGAAGAAGATATACCACGGAATGAAGGCAGCTGGGTACTTGCCCACCATGCATCTGTACAGAACCATGATTAGTCTGCTGGTCCGTGGAAAACGGGTTAGAGATGTTGAACTGATGGTTGCAGAGATGGAGGAAGCTGGATTCAAACCCGACCTTTCCATCTATAACTTAATGTTGAAAATGTATTTGAAGGTCGAGGACTTTAGAAGGACTGCAGAAGTTTACCAAGGGATCTTGAATAAAGGTTTTCAGGCAGATGAGGATACTTACAATTCCCTCATTTTGATGTACTGTAAAGACAATAGACCCAAAGACGGCCTATATTTGTTGAATGAAATGACAAGACATGGCTTGGAACCCAAGGTGAATGCATATAAAAGCTTATTGGCCGCCTTCGGTCGGGTAGAACAGTGGGAGCAGGCAGAAAAGCTTTTCAAAACCATCCAGTCAAAGGGCTATGTATTGGATCGTTCCATATACCACATAATGATGAAGATTCATAGAGACTCTGGGAACCATTCAGAAGCAGAGCATGTTCTGTTTCTGATGAAAGAAGCCGGCGTAGAACCAACAATTGCTACAATGCATCTGCTCATGGTTTCATATGGCAGTGCCGGACAACCACAGGAAGCAGAAACTGTGCTTAACAGCTTGAAAGATTCTGGTTTGGTTCTTAGCACATTGCCATATATGTCTGTCATCGATGCTTACCTGAAGAATAGGGAGTATGACTTGGGGATTAAGAAAATGTTGGAGATGAAGGGTAATGGGTTTGAACCCGACCATAGGATATGGACATGTTTTATCCGTGCAGCAAGTTTGTGCTGCGAAACGAACCAAGGAATAATGCTTTTACGTGCACTTCATGATGTTGGGTTTGATCTTCCTATTAGGTAGTTGAATGCTTTCTGGGATGATTCATTTTGGGAAATAACATGCTTTTGTTACTCAGGACTAATATTCAACCTTTCCTCTCACACACATCTCGCAGGATTTTGACAGAAAAGGCTGAGACACTAGTCCTAAAACTTGACAGCTTTCTTGACCAGCTAGGATCTCAAGAGGATGCTTCTTTCAACTTTATCAATGCTTTGGAGGACCTCTTATGGGCATTTGAGCGTCGTGCCACTGCATCATGGCTTTTCGAGTTGGCAATCAAGAAGGGAATTTACCGACACAATGTGTTCAGGTAATCACAGATACTCATCGTGAACTTAGCACACTGACTGTACTGATTATTTACATTTACCTGGTTTAGTGTTTTGAGCTGGGTAAGTTGGAGCAGCTCTGATCCTGGGATAAATCAATGCTGATTTCATGGAAATCAACAATGATCGATCGATGTGAGAAATTTGTAATACTAAACCGGGAGGAAGGGCTTTTGAGAAAAATCCTAAAGCAGCTGATAAGAAAGAGATAATCCAGAAATGGTGGAAACCAATGGGTGATTATTCAATATTGATGTCATTTTGGAGTATCTTTGTTTACCATAATGCCCAGTTGGCATTGGATAAAATTTAAAGTTTAAGATTGTGTGAATACTTAATTAAATATTCAGATGATTTTTATTTTTACAACTATAAACACTCAACTACGCTTTTTAATTTCAGGATAAATGATTTTCTGTTGATGCCCATTCCAATCCACATGATAAACCTATTTTCATCATCTCAATCTAACTAAAATGCATATTTTCTATTCCCCATAAATTCTGTTATTGTGTATAGCTGTAAAAGCCACAGTGGAACTGGAATTACGTGATGTTAATGTTGTTGGTCCTGGCTCCCTATACCCTTACCTTTGAATCCTAATCTTTGACAGCTACTAAAGAATGACTTACTTATTGGTGTGATTTATATATTTATTTATGATTTAATTTTGGAGTGTTAATTTTTATTTTTTAAAAAATTTAAATATAATGATTTGGTGCATCTGTGAGGTTGAAATTTACTTGGCGACATTAATCCAGGGTTTCAGAGAAAGACTGGGGCGCAGATTTCAGGAAGCTCTCTGCTGGCGCTGCCCTTGTTGGCCTTACGCTGTGGCTTGATCATATGCAAGTGAGTTTCTTCCCAGAACTATGTTCATCTTCCTGGCTAATCTTCAGATTGAAGGTTTACCAAAGCAGGCTCCCTTGATTGTTGATAACCCATTCATGTGTCAATATGAGATATTATTTCAATTTCCAAGACAGTTAGATTTGGTGAACGCAGTGAACAAAAACTGTAGGACGGTGGGGCATATCTTTCCAAAAATTAGTGCAATGTGTAGGGAAACACTCCATTGGAAAAAGCATAACTTTTGCTCTAAGCTTTGGGAAGGAATGTTATATTTCAATCTTGTTGGACGAGAAGATTGCTTTAAGGGCCTCCTCGTGAAGAAAAGGAATTTGAAAAAGTTTTATGCTTGCACGATGGCATGATGCCATGAAGGAGAGTCATGGTTTTGACTTTGTGAGGATAACTGTCAGAAATAATACATAGAAATCAAGATGCTATAAGAGAAGCTTGTTTGGTTTAGGATCCTCCGTAACCGTTCATTTATCAAAACCTGTCTACTTTTTTTCATTAGCTTTCTTTAGTCTTCTAAAACTGTTAGACGGTTACTATATCCAGTCAATATCATGTTTGCTCGGCCATTACAGCAATTACCAATAGGCAATTTCTGGCAAGAAGACGTGATAATCGGAGGACTACACAGTGACCTGAAGCAAATTAGCCCCTTTTAACATTGCTAGTTCCACGAGCAGAAACAGGTAGAAGCTTATATGCCCTTGCCATACTATGGGCTCCCGATTGGCAAGTGATAATGTATGCACTAAAGAGGTAAATGACGAGGCAATCATATCCCGAGGAGAGTTACAACGGAAACTCATCATGCATAAAAAGTTGCCACCAGAGCTTCTTAATGTTAGTTAACATGTTCTCCGTTACTTTCCAGTGTTAATATTCTAATCGAGGGAGCTCTTTGTGTCTTGGCACCAGGATGCTTCACTGCAGGGAACACCTGAGTCACCAAAGTCTGTTGTCCTGATTACGGGAACTGCCCGCTATAACATGGTTTCTCTCTGTGACACATTGAAGGCGTATCTCTGGGAGATGGGATCACCCTTTCTGCCCTGCAAAACTCGCACTGGTTTGCTTGTGGCCAAGGCTCATTCTCTTAGGATGTGGCTGAAAGATTCTTCCTTCTGCACGGACCTCGAACTGAAGGATGCTCCTTCTTTACCCAAGTCAAATACAATCCAGTTAGTTGACGGATGCTTTATGCGGGCTGGTCTGGTTCCAGCGTTTAAAGAAATATTCGAGCGGATGGACCAAGTGGGACCAAAGAAGTTTGCGAGGCTGGCACTAATGTCGGATGAGAAAAGAGAAAAAACTATCACTGCTGATATCACGGGGAGAATGGAGAAGTTGGAGAAGATGAAGAAGGGGGTTGTCAGAGCAAGGAGGCCAACAAGACTCCAGAATGGAAGATTTATGAGAAGGCGGCATCGCTCGGATGCACAATCAACATCTGATTAACGAGAATGCTTCTGTTTCCTCGGCAAAAATGTGAAGCTACTCTGTCAATTGGTTCTCCAGGGATAAAGTCCCAATTTCTAATGGATGTGGCAGGTGGGTTTTAGGAGAAGCCTTTGATTATGACTCGAAGCTAGTTGCCATCAGTGTCGGTGCAAATACCCTTTCGCACTCCATCAGTGTCAATGGCACCGTAGTCTTTGGCTACAGAGTATGCGGTAGCTTACGTTGGAATCAATGCAATTAGGACCAACTTAACCTGCGAGTTATGTTTGAGCGACGTCTTCAACAGCTCTGGAACGACATGGTTTGCATCAGATGCACGATGCCTTACTGACAAATGTAGATTGAAGAATAACAACAAATATGTTCTTCCTTCACCATAAATTATAGAACAAAGGCTGAAATCGCTGAGGATATCGTCCCAATTGTGCAATTATTTCGGTGATGTGATATCACACTGGCAGATAAGTTCAGTCAATCGGTTCCCCCTTAACCTTTTAGAAAAAGAGATGATGTACGTACCAAAAGGCTTTTAGCCGAGAGGAGCACTCAGGGATATCACAGTGGGGAGAAAGGGAGAGAAAATACTTTGACGAGTACAGTACCAATTCGTATAAGTGTCAACCAGTCAACAGATGGATCAAATCTACATGCCTGACCGGGAGGGGTGCAAACATGAGGAAAAAAAACCCACTTGGACGTCAACGACCGATCTGATGGGACGAGGTCTGCAATACTGCAACTGGCATGCTTTCCGTGGCGGAATCATCTAATTCAGTATGCTGCTGCATCCATATCCGAGGGAATACGTGGACAATCCCTATTTCAATTTTGTTCTATTTTTCTCACTGTACGTAGACACTTCCAAGAAAATAGTGGGCTGTAATCATGTGTACTTAATCTCATGGTCGCACGACCCAAAGAAAATTGGAATCCATTTACTTCTGAAATGCTTTTTATGTGCTGATTCACCCAATAATAGGGTTAGTTTACTCCATGGTATCTTGTCTTATTTGTAAGATGGATCACCGTGGACGACCGACAAGAAAAACATGCACTGGTATTTTAGATGCCCTGAGCCTAGTTTAATTTCATAGAAAAATGTGCCATAATTAGAGACCTGAGACTCTCGAGATGGAAAAACCATAAGCATACTCCTTAGAGTAGCTACTTGAAAGAAAAGCCGAGAGTGGGAAGCACGCGCACATGATTCGCCCAAGCATCAGAGAACTCAACCAGTGCAAGGACCCTCCAATCGGTGATTGCCTCCCTCCTTTTCCGTGAAGACAGGAGGTAGGGTTCCACCCAACCCCTCTCAAACAAGAAAACCACTGCAACCACAGGGTTATTCGATTTAAACTCGTTCCATCCTACAGGCTAGAAAGTAGGACTAGGTTGAGATCTTTGATGAAATTCTCTGCTATGGTCACCATTTCACCTCAAGACGCACGCAAGTTTTGACGCTGATTCTGTGACTTGTTTCGATCTCGGTTGATGACGTTGGCAGCCGGATCAAGAACCAGACTTTTGAAATTTCGGGTTTGGAAGAATTCATCAAGAAACCCATCGAGAAATAATACACAAAACAGAGATGATAAATCGGGTAAAGGTGAGTTGAACTTCAGATTAACAAAATTTTACGGAGAAATACAGCCTTACCAAGATGATTATACGAGGGATACTCTATTCATTCTACGAGATGAAAAGCCAGACTTCAGAAATTTCGGGTTTGGAGGAATTCATCAACTTAGTGGAAACTTTTGAAAGAAACCCACCGAAAAAACAAAAAGCAAAACAGAGATGATAAATCGGGTAGAGGTGAGTTGACCTACAGATGTTTGACGCAGAAGTGCAACTTTACCAAGATGATATTAGGAGGGCAACTATTCATTCTACGATATGAGAAGTGCACAACTAGAGAAGCAACAAGGGCTCCAGTTGGGTACATGTCCACCGTTTAGAGTTTCTAGAGCGTCATTTCAACAGTAGGAGTTCCAAATCAATTGACCAGATAAAAAGAAAAGGAGAATGATACGACCAGATTCGATCCAGCTATCGATATTGTATCAGAGCAGATAACCGGAATGTTTGCACACAGGACGGATCAGGCCTGCAACACCGAGATCGCGGTCCTAATAACCCCAGGAACCGATCCAGCTTTCTCCCGAGAAGTGAACCAGAGGAAGGCGGGAGATGAACACTACAAACTAGGGAGAAGGGGGGCAGAGAGAAAAGGACCTCAAATACGGAGATGCCAATCACCGCCGCCACCAGAAGAGAACCAAATCTGATCCAGACAGATCGCCGCCGACAGACCGCCTCCGCCTCCAATTCAGTTGATGCAAGGCGGGAGCGGGATCTCCCGGGATTGTCTCCCACCCCCTGTTCTAGCAGGGGGGGGCGGCCATGATCGACCGCGGAGGCACCCGTTCCCGACCTGCACCAAGCGAGTTAGAGACGGCCGCGGCAGCGGGTTCGCCCTAATCATCCAGCCGCCATCATCGATCTTCGACTGGAGGGAGCAGCCGACGTGCACCATTTATATACCCTGGCGGACGAACGTCGGACGAGCTCGATAGTGCCACGTCGGCGGCGTCGACGGGATCCAGATCCCGGTGGGTCGACGGTAAGTCCAGCCCCCCCTCCCTACCAGTCTTCTTTCTGCGTTCGATTGGAGGCCTTCCTGCCCAAAGTCTCCGCCTTTCTATTGACGAGTCTCTGTTCGCGAGAAGTATAGGCAGTAAACCCTCCGTCCCCGTCATGCAGTCAGACATAGTGGGAACGGGAGATGTTGGCGGGGGAATTTAGGGGGGCCTTTAAACCCTTTATTGCTTTCTTGCCGACTACTGATTGAGGGTGCTATAAAAATGAAAGAGAGAGGTTGGGATATGCCAAAATTCGCAGGGCAATGAGACTCGGGAATGTATCTATATATATATATATAATAAGGGGAGAGGGATAGTGGAGAACTTGAGAAAGGCGACTGACTTTACGTCGTGGGGAAATCGTGGTCCATGTTCTTGAGGAATTAATTTTTTGAACTATGGAGAAATTGAAATTTCTGTGATCCCAGAGGAGGATGGGTACATCTCTGGATTTAAAAATGAAAAAATATAGAAACTTCACATGGCTCCCATAAATCATGATGACCGTAATATAAAATGGTGCTCCATCATAATGAATAGTCAATGCATCATACTCCATGGTCTTCTCTCCTTTTGTACTCATCTTACTTAAAAATTTGGTTGTTGCTTTCTAGTCTACTTCTGCAAAATTTTAAAAAAATTATAAAATTAGAAACTATCTTTTTTCTAGATCTTCATTGAAAAATTTATATTTCATTCCAAACTAAAAGTAAGAATGGCAATGAAAATATGTTAAACATTAAATGATAAGGATAAACCATTAAAAAATTACATTAAGTAACGTTATGTCAACACGAACATGACCTTAAATATTTGCAATATTTTAAAAACGATCGGACATATAATAATTATTTATGGATAGTCTAGTTTTCATAGCAATATAAAAGGATTAACAATGTTTCTAACATTTAACATAAGAAAAAGAGTTATGATTCATCAAATTATAGATTGTATGATGTACCCCCACGTACACTATATAGTAGATCTTATAAGAAAATGGGAATAATATAAGATCTACTGTATAGTTTAGGTGGGGGTACATCATACAAATCTCTTTCAATCCATTCAATGGCAATATAGTGCTATCGTACGATCATATGTTCCATTTTCTTACACTATACTTTGAATGCTTGAGAAAGATGTGAAAATATTGAATTTAAAATAGAAATCCTCATATGAAACAATAGAGGAGGATTTCTATTTTACCTTTGTAGGTATTTTGTAAACATCAAAACTGTTAAGGACTTTTAACGAAACAAACCTTGCATAACTCTATTGATGACCCTATGTTTGATAGCTCATTGGCAAATTTTATTATTCTATTTTATAGTTTTCAAGAAAAAATGTGCATTGAGAGTGTCTTTAGTCACAAAGTTAAAATCTCTTTCAATCCATTCAGTGGCACATATGATGTGACCTGCAAATGTTAATTAAGATCATATGACGATTCAAATGTTAACCTTCTAATATGCACTAAAGTCAACTAAGATCATTTAAAAACTCTTAGGAGCACTTTTGTTCTTCATAGATATGTGCTAGTCAGTTCCCTCCCACGCCTCACGCGTTTCCTCTGCGTTTCCTCTGCATTTCCTGTGCGTCAACACTAGCTTCACACTTCAAAATTCTCGTAACTTCATTACATCCTCCCTTCTTTCAGACCATTTTACCCTTTTCCTTTCCTGTATACAGATGACAGATAGCAGCATATGCCAAGACTTCCTCCCACGAACATCAAGAACGAAAAATATGAAGCTCTTGCTCCAGCAAGAGCCTCCCACCGCCGCCGGAGTGCTAAGAGGCGAAGCCGATCTTGCGAAGCAGGCGGCCGCCGAGCCTCAGGACTAGCGGGGCCAGCACGCGCACAAGCCTGGGCAGGGACGGGGAAGTGAGCGTGCCGAGCACGAACCAGTTGAAGCTAAGCAGCGCAACGGCGTCAGAGGCCGGTTTGTTCCGTATTGCAGAGAAGAACTGGACGACGCTGCCCAGGGACATGCCGACGACGGTGAAGAGCGCGGCCACCAGCGGCAAACACGGGTCCTCGGCTTCCCAGACGATCAGGCCCACCAGGAGCGACAGCACTACGCTGAAAGTGCTCCGGTAGAGGGCCACGTACCTCCGCTTCTCCAACGCCGCCTCTTCGACTAAGCCTTCTGCAGAAGCCCTCGGGTCGTCGCCGGGGGTGGGGGCTTCAGCGTCGTCGTAGCCGGCAGTCCACGCCAGCGGGACGCCCTTGTGCACTCTGCTGTCGCGTTTACCGTACTGCCGTCGATCATCCCAGAAGCTTTTCCCTTGGTGTTCACTCACCTGCAGGTTTTCTTCTCTCAGATCCTGCAACTGTCCACAGAAGTGCATGGATTTCTTAGAATTTTGTCTTCTCGGTCACTTCCCGGTCACCTAAGCACCCTCTTAAGCAGCGGAATAAATACCAAATCGATCCCTTGGCATTCTCTTCAGCTGCACAAGTCTGTTTTCAATTTTTTGTGACAGTGAAGTCATTACATAGATGAAAGGAGGCTACCCAATACCTTAGTCATATGTCAGTTCCAGTTATGGCAGCACTGTGTTTCTACAGTTCTTTAGAAGTGGTTCCAAAGACTCAGGACTGGCCATACTTGAAGATAGTATATAAAAAAGTAGAAGCAAACCCAGAAACAGATGCGGGGACGCACTGCTCTGGAAAAATATGGGAAGCAACATTTGAGCTCATATGAAACGGATAAACAATAGCTCTTTATGCCGTTACAATTTTCATAACTCAGGTTCGGACGTAAATGATCCGTTGTGTTTTTAGACCGCTTTGGGAGGACTTTTAATTCATAGATTTAAATAATTGAGAATCAATAATAGGTACAGACATTAGCCATACAATTTCTATGAACAGAAATTCTACAAATAATTTACCTACAATCATTCAACTATATGTTTTAACGAGGACTCATTTCTGAGGATATCTCTGATCTAACCCATATAGAGGCAACATAACAAAAAAGAAAACGCGACAAGATTTCCTGTAATTTCCTTTGTTTCATAACATATGGGGAGTCCCTAGATAAGATTACGCACAACTGCACAATCCGTGTAGCCCAAGTTCCCAAAATACAATACGTTTCTTGCCTGAGACGAGAAAAAACGTACAAAATCTCGAAACGTCCCCTTCAAATTTTTTCTCCCCCTAGAATCAAAGGGAAGTTTACATCGCCCAAAACATTTAGCTGCAATATAAGAATGAAGCATCAATTGAAAAGTTCAGTATTTTACAATAATTTACAATCATTTCAAACAAATTAATGTGGATGAACCAAAAAAGATCTCATCCAAGACAGGGGAACAATCAAGGATGTTCGTGGGGGGACGTATATGACAGGGAAACTAAGGCTCTACGTGAAAGATGAAACCGATTCAATCATCAAACCAGAGCAGATAGAGCATGCTATACCTCATTCTCAAGAAAGTCAATTTTCTCAAGGGCTTTGTCTTGCTCTTGCTCCATCTTTGCAAATAATGTCTCGATGACTCTGCATTCTTTAAATGAGGCATCTAAGCAATCTTCAAGTTGCTTATTTTCCCACGTGAGATTCTCCAACTGAGTTTGCAACTTATGCAAGCTCATTTCTAACTGTACACATAAGAAATGATCCATTGTAAATGGAAAAATTGGCATTAACATTGAATTATATAGCACTGAACAGTCACTAAATTCATAAGCTTTTACAGTAGGAGAACGCAAAAGTGATGCCGAACTATCTAGGAAACAGATTAAGAAACATGCCCATATTTTTTAAATGCAGATATTTCTCACTCAAATGATCTAGATTTCTGAATGGGCACGTATATATTATAAAATGATTGACCTAAAAGACGGGACAAGAGCAAACCATTTTTTCCCTCTGTAAGGCCGTCATAATCCTGATCGGAAGAGACATAATGTAGTACGCCCAGGCAATAACGCTCCAACACACATCTATCTGAATTTTGATTACGGACTTCACTAGAGTCAACCATGTTGCACAAGCGAAAATAAGAACTTGTACACCAAGCACGCAGAAAACCTTGAGAAAAACAAAAGGCTTGGTAACCAAAATGAATGGATTCATCATTAACTCAACAGAAAGCCCAATCACGTTTAGCATGACTCTTGGCAGCATCAAAACCTTTGTCAAACATCACCCAAACTAGAGTCCCTATCCAGCATCATTTTTTAGTGACCTGCACAATAACGGAGTTCAATAATGATATAATTGTTGCGTGCTCAAGGTAGATGAATCCGATAAAATGTTGGTCGTAAGAAAAAATATGCATATTGTGAATATCCATGTTATTGAGCTCAATAATCAACGCAAGGCATCCTACGGTGATAATGATCATTCATTTCTATTCCTGTCAAAGATGGTTGCCAAACCACGGCTATAATCAAGAAATACAATCAGGTAAAACATAAATTTAAATACTGTAAAATCTTGAAAGTTGGATAAAGGTGTAATTCATGGAATACGAAAAAGGAAATGTTCTCCCCGATTTCTTCATGTTTGGCCATAATGTTTATGCATTTGTAATGACAAGACGACCTCTAAAGTCGATATTCAGAAGCACGTTTATAAATTGTTACCTTTTGTGACTAGCTAGATCCCTTTTTTCTGGCATGTGATTCATCGTCCTTCTTTTCCATTCTAGGGAAGAGCTTTTTTACAGTATTTTATATACTTTTTCTTCATTATTCACATAATTGTGTCGCCATATACTGAAATAATACCTAACCAACACTAGCTTCCTAGTTATACTATTGGTAGTTTATACAATTGTACTCCTAAGCTGAGAATCATAGTCACCCACATAATGTAAGCTACCCTGGCTATGACCAACTTTACCGTCACTGTGCAAGTTTCTGATGACTTCACGCTCCGATTCTGAACCATAAAGTACTCTAACCGGAACATATCTAAACAATTATCCACTATCATCTTCGCTACTCACGAGGAATAGCAAGAAGTTCCACAAGCGAAGAGATCATCCTCCACCTACACGTCTACTGACTACACTGTTCAGAGTGAATTGGGGTTCGGTGACCTGACATTGATTTAAATAATTACAAAAATTCGATACATGATTAAGAAACCTCTTCCTTCACACTCTACAGAACTGGGGACATAGGGAGCAATAGGAATCCATATTCCCAACCAGGAAAAAAAAAAACAACAAACTGATCCAACTCTTCCAACATCTTCGGTAAGAGAACGCCATAACAGAGTGTAGAGAGATAGAGATAGCGAGAGAGAGAGAGAGAGGGGGGAAAATAATTATCAGTAAAAATGAAGACGACCTCAAGCGGAAACAAGATAGCCAAATTGCGTGATACGAAGAAGAGAAGAAGAGCGTAAGGTCTTGAGATAGTTACAGTCTCCTGAGTGGAGATACGGCCAACTGCTGGCCTCCCATCTCCTCCCTCGCCACCTCACCCTCGCCATCTTCCCCAGCCAGCAGACCACAGAAGAAAAGACGCCGACGCTGTTCTTATCCGTCTTCATGCTCGGCACCTTGGAGGTGACGAGGACGGAGGAGAGGCTCCGACGACACGTCGCCCGCATTCGGACGCGTGTGACCTGCCCCTGCGTTCCTCAGGGACTGAAGTGTGTCTGAGTGTGTGAGAGAGAGAGAGAGAGAGGGACGTGAGGCCCACAGTATCGCAACCCGCGTTAGGACGAAGTGTGGAGGGTGCGTAGATAATACAGAACTAGCGTAGATGTTTTGTACATATTAATAATCCTTGGAGGTGATAGACGAAACATTCCATTTGTTCTCGGTTGTTCCTTGCAGTACCCCTCGCCGGACGTCCCGCCGACCCCACCGCCGCGGCCTTCGTGGAGGCATCCGGCAACGGCGCCCTGTGAAGCTCTGTTCCCCTGGGGTGTCATCTTCTCCCTCTGGTTCTCTCTTTCTCCGCGTGCCTTGTGTTGATCCGTTCGTCGCTAGAGTGTGGGCGAAAAACCCTAGCCTCCGGGCACCAAACGCCTGCAACTCTCTCCCTCCGAGTCAGAGATCTCGCAGCCCGGCGGAACCCCCTAGAAATTTGATCGTTTTATAGTCTTTCGCTGGCTCTTTGTAACATGTTTTGTTATCTTTAATTGCTTCTGGACTTCTTGTGGGGGATATTTATTGTCCGGTGCGTGTTGCCTGTGTTCTATTCTTTGGTAGATTTTTAGGTTCAATTTTTTGCACACTAGTTGTTGACCAGTCGTTTCGTGCTCCATGTTTCATCGGTTATAAACACTGTGTTTATTCTGGCTATCTTCAATTTCTTGGAAATAGCTTGCGCGAGGTGTGGAGAAGTCCCGAAGCACTGGAGGGTTTTCGATGCCTGAATCCATGGACAAAGACTCAGGGGAAGGAGATCCAAACTTTCCATCACAAGCTCTCTATGGTCTACTAAATTCTCACCTCGAAGCAGGTTCGTTCTCGAAATAACTGCTCCTTGTCAATCATGCCAGCTGAAGCTCGTATCGCTCTATAGCTTCCCTGGGTAATGGAGCAAGCTCGTTTATGTTTCAAAGTTGCTATCATTCTTATTTGCTTCTAATCGAAAAAGAATGTCATAAACTACGATTTTAAGAGGCCAAATCATCCTTTCATGTGAAGTATATGACTTTTAGTACAGGAACGCAATCCCGAGGTCTTGAAGCATGTCTCGTACGCGATAACTATTTAGTTGAATGACACAATAATGCGAGATGGTTACGGAAACCTTCACAGATTATTGTTGTACGTCCATCGCACTCACATGGAGAATTTTTTGCTTATGAAAGTAAAAGAAATGCTTCCTTGGAGTAAGCGTTTCTCAAATCAAAGTGAATTTTGCTCGGAATTTGTATGGAAATGTTATTGGTCCACTGAAACGAAAGACATTCCCCATCCCCAGGACTGTGCGAGAGAAACGACTAATGTTCCTGGCTTTGCAGCGTTCCACCAGGGTCTGCAAACCATTTTCTGAGATGTTATTACTACCTAATGCATTTTTCTCTCAATGATCAAAAGTGATCGATTTTTGGTTTCTGTCAAGGCAGGGGCAGAGCTCGACAGCTCTGCCACAGTTGTGAACATCCCTATATAAAAAAAATTATATGTACAGAGTTTTGCTTCACATTTATTGGGAATCTGAGTCGCTTAAATGCGATTGCTACTTTATTATGAAAGCCAGAACAAGTTAGTGGAGCTGTTATTCTCCATTTTCAGATCTGGAGTCGTTGCCATCCATGCTGCGTCATACATATGCAACGATGCGGGACTTGGATCAGAGTCTACTGGGTATTAACTCCTGATGGCCGAGTGCATACATAAATATAGATATATGTTCATGTATATTGTATCGCAATCTGATTTATGGGACAAGGGATTCTGCTCAACCCCACTTTTTTTTTTGAAGTGTTTCATCTGGTTAACTTTTGTAGCACTTCAGCAGCAGAACGAGAAAAGATGTGATGAAGAAATTGAAGAAATTAGGCGGGGGTTTGTTGGATCCGGTAACGCCAACCTGAACACATCGCTTATCAGATTCTCTGATGAGGCTCTCGATGAGCAGAAGCACTGTATCAGAATCGCCGACGAAAAAATTGCATTAGCGGGCCAAGCCTATGAAATGGTATTTGATTCGAGGAGCCCTTCTACGTTCTATTAGTTTGATGGGCAAAAATTTTCAACCTGCGCGTAAATCTTGATTTAAGCTTTAAGGGAAAGTCCCCGGAACTCCACACAATCATCACCCTATTTTGCATTTTATGTTTTGCTTTCTTGATGTTGTTTCCAAGATACGCTGAAATCTGCCATATCGTCTATCTTCTACATCTTAGGTCGTTGCCTGCGTTGTCCCCAATTTTTTTCCAGGTGGATGCCCAAATCCAACAGCTTGATCAGTACTTGAGGAAACTGGAGACAAAACAAGGTTGTTCTTCTCCGAGTACGCTTCCATCCTTGCAGAGTTGAATCCTCCAATCTCTCTCTCTGTCTCGCTTTTATTTATATTTCTAGTTTTTTTTTGTTTTGCCGGGCTTGTGACGCAGAAAAGGAGCCTGCAGAGACCCTAGAAGGGTCCGTCGTCGACAGTCGTCTGCGATCAGGAAGGGGAAGCGGAAGCGGCAAGCCGGGGCGGAAAAAGTATGGCCATCTCCTGAGCACCATTTCTTCCCCTAGTTAGATTTTAGTTTTGTTGAATGATCTGCCGACCATTGCCCCGTTGTGGAGCAGATCCCGGCCTGCGGTGGAGCCAGCGAGCATAGACTTGGAGATCCCCGTCGATCCGAACGAGCCCACCTACTGCGTGTGCAACCAGGTCAGCTACGGGCAGATGGTGGCCTGCGACAACCCGAGCGTACGCCCCCCCCCTTCTTCCTCCTATTCCTGAATCTTTCTCTCTCTCTCTCTCGCTTCCCGCCGGCGGTGGAGACGGGTTTTCATGTCCGACCTGCATTCTGGCTGGGCAGTGCAAGATCGAATGGTTCCACTTTGGATGCGTTGGCCTCAAGGAGCAGCCCAAGGGGAAGTGGTTCTGCCCCGACTGCGCCGGGATCAAGCGCCGCCGTAGGTAACCGATGATTCACCGGAAGTTTTTTTTTTTTTTTTGAGGTTTCAACCGCAGGCAGAGAATGGTGAAACTGTGGCAAAATCTCCTCCTGTAATAGATTCCAGAGCCGGGGAAGCTCGTAATAGATGGATGCCGGAAAATTCGCTATCTTATTCCTTCCATTGTTCAAAGATTTTTCTCTGCGCCGTGGGCTCTACTACTGCGAATGCTGCAGGTGACAAAGAAGACGAGAGAGAGAGAGAGAGAGAGAGAGAGAGAGGGTGGCGGATTCAGTGTGATTTGGAGGTGCAGTGGAGGAGGTCGTCGGCGGAGTCGCCGGCGGGGTAGAGGAAGGGGAGGGTACAGTCGAGGTGGGTCCAGAACTTGACGGATATCAGGGCCACCCGCCACCGAGTCCTAGCCTTGCCAGCCAGCGCGAACTCCACCCGACCGCTCTTCAGGGACTCGTCCATCCTCTCCCTCCCTGCCTCGTCCAGTGGCGCCGCCGAGGACTCCACCGCGTAGCGCAGCCGCTGGGTGCTGTTCTTCGGCACGTCGAAGTCCTCCGCCAGCAGCGCCGCCAGCGGCGTCCTGCCGAACCGCAGCTGCAGTTCGACGCCGGAGAAGGTGGCGTGCGCCCTGCCGTTGTCGTTGACGGCTTCCACTGTGAGGCTCATGGCGAGGTCCAGCAGCCCCGACTGGTCGTAGCCGAGGCGGTCCAGATGGGCGTCGCCCACTCGCAGGAAGGGGATCTTGGGGCGGTACGCGAAGTAGACGGAGAGCACCACCACGCCGGCGATGATGACGGTGACGGCGAGGATCGTGCACACGAACGCCGCGAACCAGACCAGCGACTTGGCGGCCCGTGGATGTCTCGTCGCCATCCTTCCGGCGAAGATTCGAGCTTCGAGCTCTGGTCTGTTCTGTCATGGCAGGAGGGGAGGGGGGATTCGTATCTTCTTCCTTGGCGAGCAGGGCAAGCCATCGACGATATTCATGGCCCTGTCTGGAAGGAAGACCCTCTCTTTCTCTGTTTGGCCCTCTTCCATCCTTGCTCGCCCTCGGCCCACGGAGATGCCAAACTTCTTCGCCATCCCGCGGCCACTTTCCACTCTTATCTCTGGTTTTCGGGTATATGCAGCCGACCGAGATTAGAACCAAAGCTATATATATACGTCTCTAGCTCTCTCTCACAAATAGTCAGCTCCCCTGGTACAGAAAACTTGAAGTTACCCATGCAAAAATAGCCTTTTTTATTGCGTTTAGTTACAAACGATTGCCAAAAACTAAAACAATAACTCCGATGCTAGCCTCATAGAAAATTTGTGATCGTTGATCATAGCAAGTTAAATCTTCCATCCTAAATGTCCGAAGCTAATATCTGGTTGCGTCCAAACATAGGAGCGTAGTCAAGTCAATTGCTTCATAGATTGAACACGAATGGGTGTGCAAGCGATAATTATTTTTTTATGAATCTAGAGAGGTTTGATGATACGGAGAAGGAAAGATTCCTCAAGATTTCTCATTTCTCATCCCCACGATACAAACACATCCATGGGCCCTCGACTCGAGAGCACTAGTTCAAGATTCGTGCCATATTCTTGGAGCATGGACCTTATTAGGGGCGGTCCCTTGCGGGAAAAAAACTCCATTTTCTGTCATCACTCATGTTCCAGCGCACATTGATTGACCGCACGCTATGATATGAGGGATGGCAGACAGAAAATATATGGGATGCCTATTGTTGGATTCTCACATTTGAATAATGATAACATGCGCATATTTTTTTAATAAATTATGTTGGCCGATTTCTGTGCCGTTTTTTTTTTGAAAATATGGTGGGTGGGAGAAAAACGAAGTACAAGGTACATATTTATAGGAGAGAACAAACAGCTGAGTCGTTTGAGGTTCGGGGGTTTAGCGTGGTAAGGATGGCAATGGTGGAGGTCCTCCTCCGGTCTCTCACCTCCCCCCCCCCTTCGGGGGCACCCGTCTCCGCTCAGCGCCCTCGCCCCCGCCATCTTCGCCTCTGTCCTCCCCAGCGACTGCGCTGGCGGCGTGAGATTCGCTGTAATGGACTAGTACGGTATCCCTCCGCAAGGACGTGTTCGCCGTTAATTCTCTCTTCGCTACTGTGCTTCGCGAGGGCCGCAGCGCCTCCGACGCCGCCGCAATGTTCGGCCGAGTCAAGTCCTCTGAATCCATCCTGCTGCCGAGAGAGGGGAACACCACCTTCGGCGAGGTGGTCGTCAGGGTTGGCTGGGATGCCGATGACAGATCGGCCCACGAAGCCTTCCTCAATACCCTTGTTGGTGCTGGGTTGGCCGATGAGGCCGTCAAATTTCTTCGAGCAATGCAGGGCAAAGGATTCCTTCCCGAGGCTCAAATTCTTCGTAAGCGCACATGAAAAATCTTACGAAAAAGGATGACGCCAAACAGGCACCCGACTTCTGGGAGGTCATGGCGGAAGGCGCCGGCTTGGTGCCTAGCCTCGCCATGTATTAGGCAATCATTGGTCTTCTCTGCAGAAAAGGTGATGTTGGTGGCGCCTACGCCCTCCTCGATGAAATGCCCTTCCTCGAGTTATTCCCTGATTCTCGCACGTACAACATGATTTTTGAGTGCCTGGTGAAGGCCAAGAAGGGGAACGAGGTTGATCAGTTCGCGGCTGAGATGAGGAAGAACCAGTTCCCGCCAACTCCCGCCAACTCCATCCAATTGTGCTTGGCGGTCTGGGTGCTCTTTGATAGGTTTGTCCCTGAGGGTACTGCTGCCGTCTGGGAATTTCCTGTGGAGGATGGGGTGTGGCCGCTAGATGAGTGCGCAAATGAGATGCTGATTGGTCTGCAGGACCTCGGGAGGATGAGTGACCCGAGGAGGTTAGAAGAAGAAGACATGTTTGACATGAGCGTTGGAATGACAAAAGCCGCGATGGGAAAGTTGAAGAATGGATTTTGAATGAAGGAGGCATATCAATACCTCGAGAATAGGTGGAAGGAGGGACTCTAGGAATCAAAGAGTGGTGCAAACATATTTGGTATTTTGCTGCTGTTTCTTCACTAAAGTCTGCTGAGAAGGCAGTGCTTAAGGTCTGATGTAGGGTGCTGCATCAGGTGCATTATTTGGTTATGTATGGTGCTGCATCAGGTGCATCAAGAGTATTTGGTTAAGTGCTACAAAAGTAGCACTCGCTGGCACTTTAATTGTTTTTCCTCCTCCACTGGATTGCATAATGTTCTTCTTTTCTATTAAACTCATAAGAGGATTGGTTCATTCACTCTTTTCTATTCTTGGGGGGATGTTAACCTCCCTTGCTTCTTTCTCTCTTGTTAGTACACACCAGTGGACGGCATGTCCCTTGGTGTGATTCCTTTTAATCACGTGGTTCAAATCACAACTATCAGTGACGAAAGGATTGTATCAATAAACCATGATTAAATTTACCAGTTTTGACATTCTTTGTTGGATCTACTAATTGGATCTAACATTTACCTTGGATGTAACATATGGGTCGTCAACTCCTGTCGATTGTTTTGGAAGGGCTTGCAAGGAGAGCATTTCACGTCTAGGAAAAAAGGTGTGTGACTTGATTTTTCTGCGGTTGGAGTTGTATTTTGTCAAGTTTGGCTCTTCTTGTGACTGATTTACGATTCTAATCAATTTCCTTTGTCCTCCCAATATTTCATTCTATAATGGTTTTTGATGTTCGTATTAAAATGAATAGCATTGAGTGTAAAACCTTAATATTCTTTTTTAATGTGAATTTTGAAAAAAGAACCTATTTTTTGAAATAAGTATTTCATTCATGAGAAAAATATAATTGCAAGAAAGTGTGATTTAATACGAAGAAGCTGAGGTACTAGTGTCATTGATGTGAAGTAGCCTTTGCATCAAATTGTCTTCTACACAAGAAAAAGCTCGTTGCCTGAAAGGGGTTCCCATAGCCTAGTTTAGTCAACTGGTGCGCAATGGTGTCCAGTCTTGTGAAAAGTCTTTGTCAAATGTGTAAGGGGAGCTAGGAGGATGACACCCCCTTCTCTCCCCAAAGCTGAATGTGCGGAAGAAGTCCAATTGCTGGAGAGGTTATCGTTGCCTTAGACACTTTCTTCTCTATGGAGGGAAGCCATGCTCCATCTAGTGTGTGGAGCTTATCCATGCTTTAAGAATTGGAGAGCAATCCTCTGTGTTGCCTACTCTCATTGGCTAGTGCCAATAGGGGCTATTAGTCCCTTGGCTACTCCATCGATGGAAGAAGTATACATTAGGGTCAAGGATTTTGTCCTGACTCCTCTACCCATTGCTTAAAAACAACTACATGGGAATGGCGATGATATCCTGACTTTCTGCAATTTGGCATTTGGATGACCTCTATCTTGGGATAAGTCTCATTAGTTGCTTTCATTGTTAAAATGTGTTCTGATCAATAGACTCTCTCTAAACCATTATGGTAAGCCAGAATTATTTCTTCTTATAGATCCTGAGGAATTTCTAGTGTTGGAATTGTGAATCCCTGAGGAAAAAAATGGAGCGTGGAGATTATAATGGTTGACACCTGTGAAAAGACGGCTAAATGTACATGAATCAACACTTGTAGTGAACGGAGAACCAAATGCATTGTGGTTGACTCCTGTAGAGCATGGGTAAACACTTGTGAAAAAATAGAATTTCGAATTTACACGTGTGAACACCTAAAGATAGACCAAAAATTTTAATTCCCAAGGATCGGGATGCATAATTTATGTGCCAATATCATGAATCAGCTCTTGCAAATCGAAGGCCGCCTCTGGAAATCTATTAGAACCGATTTGGGACGGGGGTTGACATCCAGAGGCTTAAAGGAGTTGTCACTTATCATAATTTTTAAACTCAGGTGCCAATATCTAACATTTACATTTTTTTTTAAATGCTCAAGGTATATATTTTTTAAAATGATGACCGGAAATGATCGAACCACTAGATGCTTTCTGACCATTGGAGGGGAAATCTTACGGAAGGGGATTCCTTGGTGCCCCCCTTTGAGATGGTTTCCAGGTCCGCGGGTTGCTGGTCTCAGAAGGAGGGCACCAGTGACTTAGGCTACCCATGGTTTAGTGGTACCAAAACATCAGTGTGTAACCTATGATGAGGCCACCACCGTAGAGACCCCTTTTAGGAGAGATTTTTGGAAGTGTTGAGTACTGGTTAAGGCCGACCATCAACAGGTGGCCTGTTCAATGGACCAGTGGTGTTCCTTTGTTTCAACACTGGACTCTGCCCGCGAGAGTGGATCACCAGTGGCCGCTATGGAGCCTCTTGAGCCTCTTTTGTGGCCATCTCTCACCTGCTACTTTTATGGGGGCGAAATCTTACTATTCAGTCCTCTGGTTAGGCTGTCATTTAGGCGTGAAGAATGTCCTTGCAAGGTTTGACCACTGTGTTCTATTCCACTTAATTTTCCAGAAGGACTGAAATAGGGTGCGGGCAGCAATTCTTTAGATGACTTCTATTTGGCAAATTCTTTTTCGAGTCTTGAAGGCCCGAGACAACGCTGGTGTCTTGGTTTCTGATGTCTTCCAATATAACCCAGTTGGTGGTAGTCACAATCCTCTCAAAAGCTCAGTAAGGTTGTCTAGTTGATCTAATTGAGATCTGTCAGAGCATTACAGTAAGTAGGTTGCTTCTTTTATTCGACTTTGTTTCGTGCCATGTGTTCAATTGAAGTAGATCACGGCAGTATCTTTTGTTAGCTGCTGGGGTCAAAAGATGTTTGAAGAATCTTGGCTGCCTCTTGGCTTTCGATTCCTAGATACCTCAAAATAGAGTCGGTATGAACAAGAACAGTTTTGTAATCCATTTTTGTTCAGCATGTCAGTGAACGAAAGCGCAATCCCTGCCGGTTGAGAGAAAAACGAATCAATAGATGCATAATACTTCTCCTGGTCTATTTGGATGCTTCCTTTTCAAGCCAGGCCCTATAAAGTCGCATTTCCTTGCACCGAGTTCACTCTGGCATCAGAATTTGTTCGAGGACTAGGCGAGGAACCTTGCCGATTCCTTGCCACACTGAATGGATGGAGCCTTGGAGTTCCGGGCCATGGAAAAATCTCGAGTTTCATTTGTTCCTGCGGAAGCTGAGACTGAGGGAGTCCTTTCAAAGGATGCATCTGCCTTCCTATTTGGGGAGGACTGTCATGATTTGGGGAGCTCCGTATCTTTTATAGCAAAAGTTCAAAAGTTGGAAGGCCAGACAGACGGCCATATCTTTGTTTATGATCCAACAATCAGCCCCCTCCCCCTGAACAGGATTTCTCCCCTCATTTTTGGGGTCGGCTCATCGGTTCTTAAGAAGAATCCAAAAATTCCTGCTTGATGGGTCCTCTGTCGAATGGACTGCTGCAATTGCTCGTCATATTTTGTACGTGATGTGCACGGGTTTCAGAGGTGGGGCGATGACCATTGACGGATACGCACCCCCCCCGCCCCCTCTCCCCAATAATTTTTAGTACTAACTTTTCCTCTCTTCCGTCTCCCTCATCGGATAGTGTGTGGTGGAGAGGCGGAGCCGCCCGGTCCTTTCGTCTGTATTCTCCCCTCCGGATGGTACCGTTGCAGTGCACCGGCGAGGTTGGTGGCTAGTTACAATGAACTCTCCCTGCATCTCCATCTCCGCCGTCTTCTTCTTACCCCTTGTGGGCCTAACCCGGAGGCTAGCTGCAGAGTTCACGCTCTTAATCCTCGCGAGCGCGCGGTTCCCCCGGGCTTGAGCGGGCATGAGCGCGACGGGCACTCTCCGGCCATTCCTCGCCGGCAGCACGAGGGGGATCGTTTCTGCCGGAGACCGGCTGTGGCGGCGGGCGAGAACTGACGTGGTGGGTCTTCGGAGGTCCGCTCCGGCCGCCGCCGCCGTGAGTTCCAGACGCGAAGACGCGTCGACGGCCCCCTCGGCGTGTTCTCCGCCGCCGGCAGCCGCTGTGTCTGACGCTATTGGGGTCGGCGTGCTGGAGCCTCCTCCCAGCCTGGACGTTGACACCTTGGAAGCGCTCGTCGAGAAGGTCTGGCTGCTCCCTCTCTCTCTCTCTCTCTCTCTGTCTCTCTGCGGAAGAACCGCTCCGTGTAATCAATCCTCTTTTGAGCCTTAGAATTTCACACGAATAGCTTCTCCCTTGTCTCCAGGTCGTCTATAGCTGCCGATTCATCGCGCTGCTGGGGGTGTCAGGCTCCTTGGTTGGATCCATCCTCTGCTTCTTCAAGGTATTCATTCAGCAGTACCCTCCTACAACTAGTTCCTCGTATAATTTTTCGTCGATTACCCACATCAGATATCTGCGAATGCAATTCTTAGAGATTCGTGGTCTCCCGGCCTGTTAGGTTTCGCTGAGATAATTCAACCACAGCGTGTTCGAAAAACCTCAGAAATCTGTGTGTTCCGTGATATCTCACGAACAAAGTTGGATCCTCATTGAAGGCTGGAAACTTAATCCGCAGCATGTTGTCTCTCATCCGCGCAGGGCTGCGTGTACATTGCGACCGCCTTCCTGGAATACTTCACGTCTAGAGGAAAGCCCATGTCGGTGATCATAGAAGCCATCGGTGAGGAGCTTCTCCTACTGCACTGCGGATTAGGAGAGGCTCATACGGACCCTATCCATGGGCGTGGGGATGAACTCGTATATGATGATCTTCTTCTTCTCGTCTTTGTCTTCTACTTATTCTTCTTTTCTTCCTTTTGGAACGTGCAGACGTTTATCTGATAGGGACAGTGATGCTCGTCTTCGGCATGGGAATCTACGAGCTGTTCATCAGCAACCTCGACATGGCGAAGATATCCTCTCAGAGGTCCAACTTCCTGGGGCTCTTCACGCTACAGGCCCGTCTCACACCCTCGCCTGAAGAACCCATCTATCTATCTTCTAGAACTCATCTCTTCACGAAGGAAAATCCCTCTCTTCTTTACTGATCCGCCTTGCGCTAAAACTGGGGCGCCTGTGTGTTCAGGAGAGGCCGCGGTGGCTGGACATCAAGTCGGTGAACGAGCTGAAGACGAAGCTGGGGCACGTAATAGTGATGGTCCTGCTGGTGGGGCTCTTCGACAAGGTCCAGAAGGTGGGCATTGCAACCCCCATTGACCTGCTCTGCCTCACGGCCTCCATCCTGCTCTCCTCCGGCGGTCTCTTCCTCCTCTCCAAGCTCTCTCACCCTAGGCACAAGTAAGAGCTTTCTCTCTCTGAAACATCGGCCGGGGGATCCTCGCTATGTACATGGATCTTGCACAGGAGAACCCATCTTCATTAAGCGTTGAGCGAAGCCTCCCGAACAGAGGGGGACGGTCCCTCAATTTGTACTTACAGACACCAATCTTTGTAGCTCTCGTCGCAGATCAGCAAGGAAGATGGAGTTGATCACAGACAATCCCTCGGTGCCCGACTCTGATTTGATGGTCTCCCTCTGCTTCGAAATCAAGCCTACGATGCCAAATATTCCCATAAATACAGTATTAACTTACGATCAAGTAAAAATCAAGCAACAGTGACATATAACTGATTTTACTCATCTGATAAAGAGTAAAAATCAGCAAGTTTCAGTCGGGTTTCTCTCTTAATGCTTCTTAAGTTGCTGTTATCACCGTCTGATTTGATGGTGTCACTTTACTTTGAAGTCAACCTACTTCCAAAATCTTCTCATAAATACAGTATTAACGCATGATCACTAAAATCAAGCAATTGTGGCAAATATTTTGAGATCGCGCGTCCCCAGAAGATTTTAATCGTCAGAGAAAAGAGAAAATCAGCAAGTTTAATCTCGGTTTTCTCTATTAATTAATGCTCGGTAAGTTATTAATATCGCTGTTCAGTGATCGTTTATGAATTTAGTGGTTGTCATGTTGTCGGCGGGCCATGGTGCTGCTCTGTGACCTTATGCCACGCGCTTGGTCAGAATCTACAACGGACCCCGATTCCGAACGAGGGAAAAGGGTGAACCCAAAGATATCTTGGCAACATCTTCGGAGGAATCCCCTTCGCCGAGTATCGTCTCCTTGCAGGTCTTCCCTCGCCCATGGTCGATATAGTCGAGCCTGGAAGAGTGAAAGGAGCCTGTTAGGGCGTGAGTGTTAGCTAAGAAGAGGAGGCCGTCTTCACCTCCGGTGGCGGCGAGCGGAAGAAATGGGCCGGCCACCGAACGGGGGAGGCCCCGCATTCCGGTTCATTCCCAGCGAGGTACCCATGCCACGAGAAGGACGAAAATAATGGAATTTTTGAGTGAGCCGTACCTAGTTCCTTTTCTATAATCTGATTATCACCCGCTACCGATTTGTCGGCTCCGTTTCTTCCGCGCTAGTACTGGAGAAAGAAGGCCGAACGGCACTTTTAGTCGACGGGTTTGGCTCGTGACTGCTCTACGGATCCGCTCACCAACGCAGTGCCGCGATCGTTGGCCTTGCACTGCGACGTGAAGTGCTTTGGTGTTTCTTGCCGCCACCATCCATCGCACACAAATCCTTTTTTTATGGATCACGCAATGAGCTTGCCAGGCGTTGAAAATAATTACGCATGGGTTAATGGCCAGCTGTTTTATACTGACTGGAAGTTTTGATACGCCATGTTGCACGGGAAGACTAAGTATAATCCAGAGTGACTGGTTGCTGCGGTTTTCCCGGATGATCGTCAGATTACGTACCCTCGTTACTCGATTTAAATTTTTTCTCCTGGGTTTGAGTTCTAGATTCGCCTGCAGGTGATGGAGATGGAAGCCTGCTTGCAGGAAACGAATAATTCTTTACCTGATCGCGAAGTAATCAGCTCCCTAGCGGAGAGGTTCAGGTATTCTCTGTCTCGTTACCTGGTACTGCGGCTTCAGAAATCCGAGGCCATTGTTGCTATCGTGAAATATACGAATCTATACCTCGATTTGGAGGAGTTCTAATGTTGTTATTTTTTTCTTGATTACAGTGCTTCTGCTGAGCGAGCTGGCAAGGTTATCATTCAAGCCAAGCAGGTTAGAGGAACAAATTATTTTGCTTAGCTTGAGATGTGAATCTTGTAGTGAAACCTGTTTGAAACCACGCCAGGTTTGGAACTGGTTCCAAAATAGAAGGTATGCTCAAAGGGCAAAGATGGTGAAGGTACCTGGGAAGTTGAATGTATCGCCATCTTGGGACGACTCATTTCAGTTCAGAAACGTAGCTCCCCCTATAACTTCTGCGCCACGTATGAATATATCCTTCCTAGATATTCAATAAATTTCTTATTTTTTTATAACAGAACTTTTATAATTTCTGATAAGTTAGATGAATTCCAGCTGTCTCTCAGGCTTCATTCTGTTTGTTTTATCCATTAGAACATGAGCCTTTCAGTGTTAATGTCATGCTACATTTTTTCGCATTCAATCATTCTTTTCAGTTTCTATCTCATTGTTTGTTTGCTAAAACAGGCATCTCATGGTGTAGGACCCTGCGAAATTATATTGGTTGACATAAATACAGCGAATCATGTTGATATATATATATTTATATATGTATTTGGATGTGCAGCACGGAGTTCTTCAGACAGGAATCAAATGGAGTTTGAAGCCAAGTCCTCTCGAGATGGAGCATGGTTGGTAGTTCTTTTTCAAGCCTTGGCATTGAAAGATAGCCCATAATCTAATCACACAGATTCTTTATTCTTGTTTGCTAGCTCATTATCTAGCTGTATATTTTTCACTGGAAAGGTGCACGTGATTATTATCTTCCCAATACTATTTCTCTCCTTTTTTGCTGCATAAATGGCCGTAGCCATCTCTTTCTTCATCTACGTGGGGCAGACATCTATTTAGTGAAGATACCCTCTCTTTCAAATGCCAGATTATCGTGCTTTTCCTGCACTTTGAGTCTCTACTCTTTATTGGGGAAAAGGGAGTGCCTCATTATTCTCCTTTTATGTTAAAGTTTCACAGCAGTGATTGCAGAGTATGCTACTTGTAATGCAGGAAAAGGGTTAAAACTAGTTGTTTCGAAACTTGCAACTCTCAGTAGGGTATTGACATTACCAAAATTTTGAGGCCAGGTAAGTTAACGACCTGCTTCTAGATGTAGCAGTACGTGAACTATTCATTTTTCCTGCATGTTTTTCTCCTAATTGCTTATTTTTTTCTGAGAGTTCAGGAAATCTCGACTATGTCATGTTGACTAGATGTAATAGCAAATGTGGCTGAGGGAGGAAAGATGATTCTGGGGGATTCCTCTGAGATAAGATATAGGAACCTTCCAACTCTTCGTTGTTTCCGTGACCTAATATCAGCAAAGCTATTGGATAGCATCACTGGAGCTTTGCCAACACATCTTCGTTGTTTCTGCAAGGAGGATTATTGTGAAACTTTCATTTCATTGTTCACGATGACAATTACTATTTATATATTCCCTCTGGAGAAAAATACGACTTTCCTTATTGAGCTCTGTGTTCTGCCTCCTTTGCTATTTCAGTTGTTTGAACCAACTGGTATTTGGTGTCTTGACCTGATATCTAGGTCCTTGAATTTGTTTTCCTTCTCTTGTTCTAGTGAAAGCTTCTTTATGCTTTGACTCAAGTTTTTAAGGAAGGGGCTCCCTGAGCTATGGCTAGACAGCACGTGAATAAACATATGGCTTAAAATATCTTTTTTAAAAGGGAGAGACTTTATTGGTGGATCACGCATAAGCTATCGTTCACACAATTCATGATTATCCCCTCTTCTAATACAGCTTGCCCTTTGCTGCACATGTCAGGCCATGGTTCATGATCCTGGGGCAGTTTCTAGTAATTTGGAGCAACATAGTATGCATATGGAATAATTTATGAACTCTTTGTACATTTTACATTTTTGTGCTATTATCAGAGTCGGCCTATGTACAGACCTGATATAGTCGTCCTTTTCTCAGTATATTTACTCGAAGTCACTATTTGATTAGGTGTTCATTGTTTAGTAGTTCAATCCTATTTGTTGTGTTTCCATTCTCAGGTATGATGTTGCACAGTTTACATCTCACAGAATGATTGAGACTGGTGATCCGGTAATGATCTATAATTAAATTCTCACAGTTTTGATTTGATTGCATGTTAGGTTTTCCGGATTTATCCGGCCGCCAGTGAGTCAAATCAATTTGTTTAAATGTTATGAAGAAGAACCCATGACGATTGGTTTTGTTTTGCCCAAATTTTTTTTTCTTTACTCTGTTTCCGTTACATCTTCTCCGTTCAAATCTTCATTACCAAAAGAACATGGGTGAAGGCTTTGCAGTTCGTTTTTCATGGCATGACCACAAATTGCATTCTAAACCAGTTTACAACTGATGTGTTTTGAGGCTATTTTTTGCATTGTGCGTCCATTTTTTTATTTAAATTCGCGTACAAGTTTTCTCAAGTTATTTCTTGTGACTAGAAATGTCCTTTTCATTTCAGGAAGTTCGTGTTCGCTTTACTGGCTTTGGAATAGAGGAAGATGAATGGATTAATGTGCGGAAGTGTGTGAGACAGCGTTCTCTCCCATGTGAATCATCAGAATGTGTCGTCCTTCTTCCTGGAGATCTTATACTGTGCTTTCAGGTGCTTCATCTTACGTGGATAACGCTCCATTTAAGATATTTAAATGGAGGCGATAAGCCTTCTTTAAACTCTTAGTTGCTCAAGCATTGCATAGAAATAAGTCTATAACATGTTCAACTGAGGAAGCGATTTCTTACCTGCCATCTCTTCTAAGAATAAAGTTATGGGGCTCTTGGATCACTTTGTCCACGGCCAAATCATACTTTGTCTGGGACCGATATATGTCAAAAAGGCGTAGGATGGATCAGATTTATCTTCTTGGTCACTTGAAAGTCTAAATCAAGCTTTTTTTTATAATGATTGCCTTTTGAAATCAAAGATATTATTGAAATTTCTATAAACTTTAATTTTTTTTACCGATATTGGATTTTCCCTGGGCTGACTATTTTGCTGATTCCATGCCCATCTTGTTTTTATGAGACCTGACTGATTCACCAGTCAGGTATGTCACTGAGTCTTATTGATGCTGAAGTTCCTCAGAACTTGTGACTGGTCAATGACTTGTGAGCAGTCAATAAGGGATGTATTGACTTCAACATCACTATGCTGCATCTTACCCATGAATTGTCAGCTTAGGACTCCAGTCTCAAAAAGCAACTGGAAGCTTTCTCTCGCTCATGGTAAAAGCTTTGCGGCTGTTTAAACGTTAGTCGACATCAGTCAGGGGGGTGAGGGAGTACTATTCGTAGAGATTGAAAAGTTCCTTATTGCCACTAGCAGAGTGATAATTATCCTTCACACGAAAGTAAGTTGGAGCGTGTGTAGATCTGATCTGGGAAATAAACAAACGGAATTAATAATTTATTGAAAAGATAAAACATTAAAATAAAAGTTTAGATGTCAAGTATGAAAGAAAGAAAGAGAATCATTTGATTGATGAGAATTTTAAAATTAAAAATAATAGGAAGCAGAGAAACATCAATCTAGATCTACTGCATGGTACCAGTTGCTCTTGTGACATGGAGCCTGTGGGAGATGATTTTTTCTTGCTACGAGATTCATCTTTAGGGCCTTTCTCATGCTTTTTTTGACAGGTTTAGATTTGGAAGTCACATTTTTTTCCAAGTTGCATTAGATTTCATTATATCAATGAAACTCAAACTATCAAGGTTTGCTATATGGGCCTCATATCTCGGCAGATGTTTTTTACCATCTACTTTCATGACTGCAAAAAACTTCATTTCCATTCATGGGTACCAAGGTATGCCACCTATGTGTACCTCGCATGGAAATCACAATGCTTGTGAAAACATTTGACACTTTAGATCCCATTCAATGTTGAGCACCACCCAATGAGTATTCCCTTCGTGATCACGTTTTCCACTTAACAAGTGCAAAAAACTGTAAGAAATAGAACATTTTGGCTCCCAATATGGTGCGGGTAGAGTGCCCTTAACAGGAGACCCCTTATTTTGTTAATGCATTATCCATCGTTTCATCCCGTAATAGTTTCTTGAGAGGATCACATGTTCCTCGCCAACCTGGTTCTTCAATGTTCACAGTAGTCCTTGATGGCTGTGCCCTAGTTTTACGAGTTTAAATCGTGCTGAAGTTAATAACTTCCCCTGAATATCTGGTTTAGCAAAGTTTTTAACTGATTCTTGGCCAGGCGCTTTGCCGCATTGAGCTCCACGACATGAAGACATTACTTCATGAGAACATGCGATGTAAATGTGTATAACTTTTATCCCCTAGAGAAGACCATGTCGTCTGCATAGCGACCTTAATGAATGAATCGTGCTGTGCCCTGGGGAAGATCCTAAAACTCATACGTAGAATGGGTTTGCTCGGCATTGGATAGACGTTTCTGCAAAATCTTGGACATGCTACAAGTGCTGTGCCGATCCACTCATTCTTGCATGCTAATTATGGTTTCCTCGCTCGGAGTTGCTGTGGTGCCGAGCATGGTTTAGTGCCATACGGATTTTTTGGTCCAATGCCTCAGTGCAATAGGGAACTCGTCTTTGTACTTTTCACCGTTCATACCAGACAAAACAATAAAATTGGGAGACAGTCTTGTGAAAGGCATACAATGAAAATGAAAAAGACAATGGAAGCATATTACATTCCTTCCTAAAGGGACGCTTTGAAAGGGTTTCCTTTTTTGGCACCAGTCATTTAATCGAGGATGCTTAGCATCATTTCCAGGAGATCAAAGAACGACGATCTGAAATTAAATGACCCATTCTAAGTTTTGTGATGTCTTCTGGATTTTTATTTTTTTTTCAGTTAGACTCTTGTGCTCTTTGGTGCCTAAAATTTGTTGATTTGATTTTAGTGGACTATACATACCTGACAAGAAGATGTTCGAAATGCAGACCCCAACCAGAGTCGCATAATTCCCCAGTTTAGTCGCTTTCCCCATCTATTTCAACCTGCTTTTCCATGTCTGAGCAGAAATAGGAGGGCTAGAAGATGGAAGGTAAATGATATTGAGTCGCTTTTCCATGTCTGTTGATGTATGCTTCTTCTGGGCCGATGGATTTATAGTGGAATATTCCACTGTCACTTTTAATGCAGCCTAAATGGATGATATGGGTGAAACACAAGGTAAACTCGGACTTCTTGAGTATTGAAATGGGCTTCCTTCTAAACCTGCAAATAATATGGGATTTTGTTGGTCCCTTTTACATTTTATCCCCTTTCTGGCCTCCTTTCGCCGAAGACAAAGAATTGGGAAAAGCTGGCTTTCCAGCCATGCCTTCAGACTGTTTCTTACTCCCGTTCCCTTCATGTCACCAGAGGTTTAAGTGAAGAATTAATGGAGGTTCTGTTTTCGGTTGCCTGAAGAATCATTTGTCAAAGTTAGGGGGCAGATGTATGTAAAAAGACGCAATTTGTTAATAAATTGAAGGAAAACTGGGGGGAGAATTTTGGTCAGAAGGAGCACATTAATGTCGGGCCAGAAGCCAAATATTTGGGATTGAAAACTAGTGACGTGGGAACCTGTTACTCTTTATTCTGAAGAATTTATACCGATTATAGAGTGTTACGTCATGTGCTAACCCTTTCAGCCCTCTAGGCTTGTTGAGAACCAAATAATTCTGAGGAAATAAGGATGCATTTAGTTTTATCGTTAAATAATGTCTTCCTTTATAAGCAGTGTTCTCTCGTCTTGAACTGCATTCATATTTTCTACATGCTTCGAAGCAACACCTCATCATTGAGATATAATAATTCGATAATTTGATGATGATTGCTCTTCCAGGAAGGGAGAGAGCAGGCTCTCTACTTCGACGCCCACGTCCTTGATGCTCAAAGGCGAAGGCATGATGCCCGTGGATGTCGTTGTCGGTTTCTAGTTCGCTACGATCATGATCAGTCCGAGGTAGGTCCCAGTTCTAGCATATGATTCACAAAATTCTTCTGGGAACCTCCAGTTTTATGCCAGTCTGAGCTTTTATTTCCCGACTCGTGTAATAGTTTTATTTGGGGCTTTTTGGATCTGGGATGTTCATCCTCGAGAGTTTAGTTTAGTTGCGCGCGGAGTGGGCCTTTTCAATTTCGGGCCTATTTATGAAAAATTATCTGTCTGCTGGATTCTCTCATCGATCACAGCCAGAATTATCCGTTCACATCGTCTCGTTTTTCTTTTTGAGTGTTCTTGTGGTATGCAGAAGTGCTGAATCACTACTCTCCGACTCATTTCGAAATTGTATGAGTTCAGCTTTTTATTTTGTTATCAACATAAATTACAGGAACCGATTCCTTTCCTCTGATGTGATTAACGATCCTATCCTCTCTTTCGATCGGAAGGAAATTGTCCCTCTGAGGAAGGTCTGCAGGCGTCCAGAAACAGACTACAGGCTGAGAATTCTGCGCTCCACCAAGGCGCAGGCCGCCATGGACTCGGGGACCACCGCAAAGCACCCTGTTCCCCCACCCCAGCGACCACAGAACCAGGAGAGGCCGATGGGCGTCGCCGCAGAAGAGGAGGCCGTCAATTCCCATCCTCCGTCTCCCACGAGTGAACCCGCCCAGATGGAGACCTCCCCTCCGATCGCCGGTGAGAGCAACGACGGAGCACTAGTTCCAGATGCTATGGATGGAGCCTCCGCCGCTGCTGGCGGCGAGGTCCCCTCAGGCAGAGGAACAGCGTGATCTCGCTGCTGCTGTCCTTTTTATTGTATTTTTATTCGAGGGCGCCTCTCGTCACGCCCAACTTGAATGCCTTCCCTTAAAAACAAAGCTTCCTGTGGATGAAGACGCTACATTGAAAGAAGGCAGCAGGGAAATCTCTTCGACCGATCGATAGCGTCTGCAAATCTCTTCAAAATCTGCGAGGGCGGAAGCATCTGGCCGCGCTCTCGATGGCGTCGTCTAATAAAAAACCGAGCTTTCATAGTCATACAGGCCGTGCCCTCATCTTTTATCTAATCGAAGTTACCTGCATCAGCCATGAGCATCCCCATTCCCATTCCCGGCCAGGTTCGTCGTCGTTGGGCCTGGCCGTCGTCACTGATGCTTCATGAATCAGCGCGCGACAGATTCGCCGGTTTAGTGGAGCAACGGAGGGCCCATCAGGGCGTTGACTGACTGTGATCGTCGTTGACGGAGCAATCGATGGAAAATCTTAAGTTTAGTTATCTGTGGCTGACGGGGCGTGATGAGGATGGGATCAAGCGAGGAAAGAGAAGAGGAAGCTGCATCTGTGACGAGGCGTGTTCGACTGGTCAACGGATGACGGGGGGAACGAGGGGGAAAGGGTCCCTCTTTCTCCTGTCTTCTTAACTGTAGCACGCAAAAACGCGATGCTCTTCAGAGAGGAACGACGACGACGACGACGACGACGACGACCTCGGAGCGGTATATTCCTTGTCCGCATCATAAGTTGAGGTCACCGGAGGAACTTCCCTCCGTTCCCCACCTCCGGGACTCTCAAGGCACCTGCTCCGCTCCACAGAAAATAAAAGGTTCCCTTCCCTCTGGGCGGAGCCTCTTATGGAGAAGCCGGTGGGCCTCGAGATCCCGGTGGTGTTCTCCGCCATCTTCGCCGTCCTTGGCCTTGTCGCCTTCTCCTGCTGCATCGCCGCGGAGTTCAACAAGGCCCAGGTAGGGGGATCGACCTTCACTCTTCCCCTCCTTTCCCTTTCCCCCCACAATTTCGATGAAAGAAAACATTTCTTCTTCCGCAGGTGAAGGACATGAAGGTGGACGGAACCTTGTGCACCTTGCCGAGGAAGCCCGCGTTCGTTCTTGGCCTCGCCGCGCTGGTCTCCCTGTCCATCGCCCAGATCCTCGCTACCTCGCTAGCCGTCGCTAAAAGGCTTCGCCGCTCCGAGGACACGCAATCAGCCGCCTCTGCGGCCGTCGCCTTGCTTGCTCTCTCCTGGTCTGTATCCCTCCCCTCCATGCCCACTATCTGTTATCGTCATGCTGCGGTTGTGATGCGCTCGCCGTTGTTGCTGTTGCAGGGTGAGCTTCGGGTTGGCGAGCGTTCTGCTGGGGACGGGGACGAGCATGAACAAGGGGCAGATGTACGGGCGGGGCTGGCTGGACGGCAGGTGCTACGTCGTGCGCAGTGGCGTCTACATCTCCTCCGCGGCCCTCGCGGCTCTAAGTGTGGCCCTCTTGATCGGCTTCGTCTCCCCGGCATGCGGGCTACGGCGGCGACGGACGGGGCCGACCGAGCTAAGCCCGCCGCCCCGGTGACCTCCACTTCAGCCGGACACGCAGGGTCAACGGACGACGCCTCCCTTGTACATTTGTATGTATCCGCCGTCCATCTGCACCGGCGAAACACAGCCAAACACGACCAGTTTTACACGGGGACCACAAACAGATTCGCTAAATCCCGACTACATGCTTTAAAGATGATAAATCCTATCTCTAACAAGTTATGTTATGATATAGCCTAAGCCGCAAGTTGAAATCTCAACTTCAAATTTAGGCGCAATTATCTTACAATTTGAGTCGTAAAGTGAAGAGTGCTGAAAAAAGGCTCACATACGTTACTATTGGTCTAGAGGTCTAAAAAGTAATATTTTATTTATTACTGTCTTTTCACTTTTATAAGATATTTTATGTCACTTTTTTCCTAGAATAAGTTTTAAATAGTATTTAGAGTCTATACTTAAGATCTTTTTAAGATTTTTGACTATCAAATTATGTTTCAGGTTAATTTAGAGTTCGTTAGAGTTTGTTTAGAAGATCTATTTAGGGTCATTTCAAAGTTAGTTAGACTTTATTCTTAAGATTTATTCAGAATATTTTTGAGATTGCTCTACCTTACTTCGAGGCCTATATAAAAGCCCTCATTATAACATAAAGATGACATTTTTTGAATTGACTTATATTTTTTTATTATGAGAACACTCTCTTTTTATTTGTGTATTCAAACACTGAATTCAAAGGTTGAAGACTTCAAATATGTTGATTCAAGCTTAATTTATTTTTCAAGATTTAACCTTTGTAGATTTAAGCCATAAATCTTATTTATCTTTTATATTACTATTGTATCCATTTGTAATAAAGTAAGTTGACATTTTAAATCAATATTCAAATATGTCATAAGGTAAATCTACTCATATTAGTGATGATGACTCTCATAATATATGTCATTTATCAAAATTATTTTTTTTTACATTCTAAGACCGAATATATGAAAAAACTAATGATATTAGTAATACCTTGAAACAACTTTTGACAAGAATCACTATATTAGAGAGTCATTCACATCTTTTTAGAGATCATGAAATCATACATCTTTAGAAAGTTACTTATGTCAAATTTTCATTAGATATTTATTATACTTTTTATTATATAAGTTCTAAATTAAGATTGAAAGAAGATATTTTTTAAAAAAATTTGTATGAAAATTAACTTACTATATTTTAATTGTGAATGGTAAAATCAACATATTAAAATAGAGGTTACAAGACTTTATTTATAGAGAGAGAGAGAGAGAGAGAGAGAGAGAGAGAGAGAGAGAGAGAGAGAGAGAGAGAGAGAGAGAGAGAGAGAGAGAGAGAGAGAGAGAGAGAGAAAGAGAAAGAGAAAGAACATGACTTAAGCCCTCCAATGGGCTCCAGTTCACTAAGCCGTCAAATGAGTTATATCTAACACTCTTCTTCAAGCTAGAGCATATAAATTGAATATGTACAACTTGGATCATAGGCTTTTGGTGAAAATGTCAACAAATTGATCCAATGATGACATATGAGGTGTTGAAATAACTCTCGTCAATACTTTGTCATAGATAAAATGACAATTGATCTCAATATATTTGATCTTCTCGTGAAAGGTAAGGTTTCCAATAATAAAGAGTCACTTGGTTATCACAACACAAGCATAAGCATTGGAGTCATGATACCCAAGTCTTGTAGAAAAGATTGTAACAATACCATCTCATGAGCAATAACAATTATAGCCCAATACTTAGCTTCCGCACTAGAACAAGAGACAACCTTTTATTTTCAAGAACTCCAGGTGACTAGATTACCTCCACATATGTGCAATACCTCATAGTTGATTTTCAATCTCCTTATCTCTAGCATATCTAGCATCAGAATAAGCTTCAATACGAAGATGTTCATGATGCATGATGCCGATAGATAAGATCTTTGTTAGGAACAAACTTGATGTATGTGAGAACTTGTAATGCCCCTTTCTAGTTCACCATATGAGGTTCCTACATGAACTGATTAAGAACACTAACAAAATAGGTAATATTGGGGCAAATAATTGTCAACTAGATCAACTTCCCTAGTATATGTCAATAATAGTTGACATCCACCATCATAGGTGAGTTAGTGTCCTAGAGCTTGGGTCGTGCCTCCAAGGGTGATGTAACTAGTTTACACTCAAATAGCCTTGTCTTTTGGAGAAGATCCATATCATACTTCTTCTAAGATAGTACTAACTTACTTGATTGATAAGCAAACTCATTTCAAAAAAAATAACATGGTGCCTAGAAGTTATGCATCACAAACTTCATCTAAAGATAAAATTTAGTAGTAGAGATATCAACTTCATCATTACCAATCAAAAGAATGTCATCCACATATATGACAAATACCACAAGATCTGCAGATGTGATATTGCACATCATTGTCGGATGAGTCTTACAAGGGGTAAAATCATAAGATGTGAGAATACCATTGAACTTAACAAATCAGACACAAGGACTCTATTTGAGCCCATAAATATCACGCCTAAGAAGACAAACCTTAGAAGTCTCCCCCTAAGTAACGTACCTCGAAGGTTCCTCCATAAAGATCTACTCTAGTAGATCATCATATATAAAGGTGTTGTAGACTTTAACTAATAAAGAACTAGTCGAGATTGATTGGTAGAGATAAAAGAACTTGAATATAGTTCATATATACAACCATAGAGAATGTCTTAATATAGTCAATGCTATGAGCTTAAGTGAATTCTCTAACTACTAAATAGGTTTGTGACGAGTCATGGTGCCAACTAGGTGATACTTTAAGTGAACATCTACTTGCATGTCACAATATTGGCATCAGTAAGGTGTGGTATTAAGTTTCATGTATCGTGATGCATTAGGGTGCAATACTCTACATCTATCATCACTTTCCACATAGTACATGAAGAATTTAATGGTACGTATTGAGTATCAACTTAGAGAATACAACAAGAGTAAAGGTATGGTAGAAGAGAGAGATGATCATAGGAGACAAATTGGGCTATGGGATGTTGGGTACAAGTTTCATGTGTAAACTAGTAGATAGTGGCAAGGACTTGTGTGCGACCTTTGATGAGATATACCCAGCTGATTAGAGTATAATCATAAAAAAATATGATGTAACAAAGATGGCCCGAAGGGGATGGAACATAGGAAGGACCCCAAATATTACAATGAATGAGGGTGAATGTGTGGGAGGAAAGAATAGGATCACGAATTGAGTAAGTAGAAAAATGATGTTTGCCCATTTGGTACAACTCACACACAATCTTAGATAAGATAACTATGGTAAAGATTATTTAAGTTTAGGAAAATAAGGATGACCAAGTCTATGATGCCACAAAATAGAAGAAATAGAAGAAATAGAAGAACTAGACAATAGAGCAAGGAGCCTTGCAAAAAAGGTATCCGACACAAGCTCATAGATCTCATGATCATTTTCACACCTCAAACAAATCATTTGAATGGTACAAGTCCTAGAAGACATAGTGGAAAAGGTAAAAAAAGATGACATAGTTAATGGTACGTGTGATGACAATAATAGAAAGAAGGTTAATGAAAAAATTAACATATAAAATCTTATGTAGGGTAAGGGAGGGGTAGGTTTAGTCAACCCATACCCTTTAATAGAGCATGAACAACTATTGACAATGGAGATGGGTGGATAGGCAATGGTAAGAATAAGGAATGAGAGAATGAAAGGGGTTTCAATCTTATAACCCATGACGATCTAGAAGTAAGAGAAAAGTGTATACTTGAAATGGAAGTTAGGGTGGTGGTGGATGTGGACACTTGAGATTGCCTCTATGCCTCATATTTTGCTAGGGTGAAGTGCATTTGAATAGTTAGCTTGGTCGATGATGTAGATTGACTAGGTAGAGTTGGGCTTGGAGTAGTAAAAGATAGCATAGCCTGAGCCCATTTAGGCTTCCCAAACTCTATCCAACACTTTTTTGAAGTATGAATGGTCTTGCTACAATAAATGTAAGATGGAAAGGCCTGCTTGCCCTTAGGATGGCGTTCCCCACGAGAAGTAGGAGGCTTGGAGCCACACCCCCCATCCTAGCCATTACTAGAGGCTACTAAGGCAAATAGATCTACCACAAGAGATGAAGGGATCTAGTGCTCATCTGAAGAGCTGAAGGAAATATAGATGTCATATTTGGAACTTGGGTACTAGAAAGTATCTAACCATCAATTTGAGAAGTAATAAAAGATCAAAAATCACTAAGATGAACTCCAACGATAAATTCCTTGCGATATCGTTCTAAGGTGCTTAAGTCAGTCATTGGTAGTTTATAGAGAGACTACTCTTGTAGAAGAGCTTAGAGATGACCAAAGTGATCATGAAGGGATTGATCACCTTGTTTGCAAGTAAACATTGACTCAAAAATTTCTATTGTGTAGTTGATGTTGGTCTTATTTGTGTATGCATTCAAACTAACACTACAACAGAGGCTATGACTATACGTGACAGTTTGCTCCTCTGTGAGGAACGCAATCTCCATGATATCATCATAGAATCTAACTTACGAGTGCTTGTTTAGATGCTACATGTAGGTTCTTGTTCACATTGGCAGCTTTAGAGTATTTAGACCGACATCATGTGTTGTAGAGTAAGAATCACTACCATTACACACTAGTTACGTGAAGGAAACCAGACAGTAGATGCGCTCACTACACATGCAATATGCACTCGTCCGTGCTCTGTATTCTCTTCTTGGCAAGAGATGCCGCTCGAAGCTCGAGGTCGACATTGCTTGGAGCAGATCAACATGTTAGCACTTCGTATACGACGAACACGGAGACCTGTTGTCCCCCAATAGTGGCAGATCACTTGGGCCAACCCCTAGCAAGCACATGACCTGGCGTACGCAGCACCACAACCACAAAGCTATCCTTGTACTATGGATGTGAGGATTTTGCAACAATCTCAATCGAGACGATCAGTCTCAATTGCATCTACCACTTCATCTTTCATTTACCACTTTTCAAAGAGAGT